GTCCTGCAGTATTCAGGACCTTAGTAAAACTTTCAAATAGTTTCATATTTTCAATATGTTTCATTTTGTCAAAGTGTTGGAATGTGGCTTGAATTGTTTAAAAAGAGGATTGACTTTCGAAATACAAGCCTTAAATATAATCTGATTTTTTTCCATAACTTCTCATTTTATTTCTTTTATCTTTCTTGTGTTTATAAAAATATTATTATAAATACTCATATATTTTTCTTTTTTCGATTTTTGAAGTCCGTATTTTTTGCTGCTGCATTCACACATGAGTTCCGAACTAAACCAAGGTTTATTATTAGGTTTATTCATATCTGCTTTGGAGAAACTCATCATTTGACAAATTACTATAATTTCACCAAAACATAATCATATATTTCATCTACGTCATGTTTTAAAAAAACAAATCCACCGAAATCTCCTCTATTTTAACACCATATATAAGCTCTGAGATCACTGACTGAGGATTATTTAGGTCGAGTTATTGATGTTATTACTTTATCTATGAACAACGTGTGGCGTTAAATGTCCTAAACTGAATTTTATTTAGTAAATATTCCTGATTAATTTTTTACATCCATTTATCTTTTAAACACATTTACTTTACATGACTTTTCATGTTCCTGGTGTTTTCGTCTGTTGTCAAGGGCAAATTTCGGACGTTTTGTTTTGAGCATAAAATAACCATGATTTTCTTTCAGCATGCCATGAAACAATAAACTTTAGAAATCAATTCCTGCGTCTCAGACTGGTATTTTATAGCCGTACCGGTCGCAAGGCCTGCATGACAGTCATCCAAATATTGGAAACAGACGTGAGTGATCTTTCAGCAGACATCTAACACCGTCTGAAAGGGGAACATTATTTCACGTGCGCGTGTACGTGCAAATTCCTGCAGATGCATGCCGTCAGCCCACCCCCCTTTCCCTCTCCCCCTTCTCTATCTTTATTTATACCTCGTAAAACTGCATACTAATGTTTTGTAAATACATCATAGGCATATTTGGTTATAAGGGCTGTTTCAGTAGAACCTCGTTAATTCGGAAACCCCTTTCTCCGGACAGAACTAAAGTGGGATACTCCATTTTCATGACCAGTTAATCAGGACAGTTGGTAATCCTTTCGAATTTACTAAGTATTGTCCGGATTTAAGAGGTTTCACTGAGTAGAGAGAGGTAACTTCACGCACCCATGGTTGATTCAGTGAGTGGTTGTGTGAGTCGGTGAGTGAGTGGTTGATTGAGTGGGTGAGTGGATGAGTGAGTGAGTGAGTGAGTGAATGAGTGATTGCGTGTGTGATCGAATGAGTGGTTGAATGGAAGATACCTCCATTCATGTATATCCTATGACAAGATGTGTAAAGTATTGGTTAAATATTTTGACAATGCCCCAGTGTCGTTTACCAAAAAATGTAATGATATGATGTGCTTGTATGATGAGCAAGGTTGGGTAAATAGGGTTACAAAGTTAAGCAATTGTCTCAGTAGGTTAGGATTTGGAGATATATGGTTATTTCAAATGTATGGTAACAAAAATGTATTATTTTCAATGTGTGAGCAACGTTTAAAGGACAATTTCCATCAAATCTGGCACAGGGATTTACTTGCAATTTAAAGAATGTCCTATTATGCAACATTTAAAATTTCTATAAATTGTGAAAACTATTTGAACTTCATAACACAAAACAAATTCAAAATTGCTCTTTCTCGTTTTCGTTTAAGTTGTCATGACCTGGAAATTGAACGTGGGCGTCACTCCAATAAACCTAGAAATTTAAATAAATGTAAACTTCCATTTTCCATTTTTTTAGTGTGTCAGGCATACCTACAGTTAAGACAATTTTACACTGACACAAAGTTTTATCTTGATCCTAATATCCATAAATTTAACACTTTGATGTCGTCGACAAACTCTGACATCATTACAAATCTAGCAACATATTTGTACGATGCACATATGGAAAGAACTGTACGGTTAGCTGTAATACCGCCTGTACCATAACGTTTGTACACAAAGGCACGAGGCCTAAAAGTACTGAATTGACTGACTGACTGACTGACTGACTGATTGAATTGAGTTGAATTGAATTGAATTGAATTGAATTGAATTGAAATGAATTGAATTGAATTGAATTGAATTGAATTGAATTGAATTGAATTGAATTGAATTGAATGAATGAATGAATGAATGATTTGATTTGATTTGATTTGATTTGAATTGAATTGAATTGAATTGAATTGAATTGAATTGAATTGAATTGAATTGGTTGGCTGGTTGATTGATTGACCTGATTGATTGACCTGATTGAATGATTGATTGATTGATTGATTTTGACACCATTAACATATTGTGAAAGATTATCTTAGATTAAGTACATGCTCAAAGTTGTTCATTTCTACTTGAAGTTTGAACATTTGGACTTTGTTTCATCTAAACCATATGTACTTGTTTGATCTCGCCTGCATTACGTGCAAGTATTAAAGAAAGGTTAGTTGCCATTATGTGCATGTCCGATACTTTTCATAAGTTTCAATAACTTCACAATTTGACATCTCCACAGGCCCATTAAGGACACTATCATACCCCGTCCTTTCTTAGATGTATGTTTTATTTTGATTTTGACACTATATAAAATAATCTTTAAAAAATGTGAAACGAAAGAATATCATAATTTTTCTCGTTTCAGCCATAGATGCTACATGAATTCACCGACAACATTCAAGACTTGAAAAGTAACATTAAGTTGTTCATATCAAACACACAGCACGTCAAGAATTAACGTTTAATAATCAAATTTGAATATACTTTCAAACAATTAGCAACACACGAGACAAATAGTAAATTGTTTGTTTGTTATTGTTTTAGCGTATTTATTTGGTTAATTTGCAGTGTTGATGTATTGCTTTTATTTCCTCATCACATGACAACCATTACATCCTCAGTATTTGACAAAGTGAGTGAGTGAGTATGGATTTACGCCGCTTTTAGCAATATTCTAGCAATATCACGGCGGGGCACACCGGAAAATGGGCTTCACACATTGTACCCATGTCGGGAATCGAACCCGGGTCTTCGGCGTGACGAGCAAACTTAAAACCACTGGGCTACCCGACCGCCCCCATTTTACAAAGAACAGGCTTGACATTGAAATCGAGTCCATTTTCTCCAAGTACTTAGAAGAAATTAAGATATTTTATTGAATTTGTCATACTACAAGCATCGGGGTATGACACCTAGAAAAGGCGATAAAATGAAATCATGTTTATTTTTCCTCAAAATATTTGTTTGTAACCTTACATGTATTTTCATCGCTTGTTTGTCTTCTATGGCCAGTGGAAACTGTTTGAGCAGAAAATCGATTATTCTCTGGAGTTGATGTTTTATATTTACTCAATATACAACTAAGTTGGAATACAGACTCGGATTCGTTATCATATAGGATTCCTGGTTTGGGATCACTAAAGTGGTAAACTTCTAAGACGAGAAGGAGGCACGGCTTGCCCAGTCGTCTAAGGCGCCGCGATTCGCTGTGCAGTGTTGCGTCCCTTGGGCACGCCAGAAACCTATGATTGTAGGTTCGAATCCCGGTTCGCCCCGATTATGTTTCTAGGTTTGTCAGCACCATACCCGTGCTCGTGGGTTTTACCGAAGTGATAAACGTCTGAGACCTGCATCACTTCGGGCTTTTCTCCCACATTAAGCTGACACGCCGTGATATAACTGGAATACTGTCAAAAGCGGCGTTAAACCCAACTCACCCACTCTAAGACGCGAATGGCTTTGTGTTCTCCTCCAACATTATGCTGACACTGCATGATATGGCTGCAATACTATTAAAATTGGCGTTAAACCAAGTTCACTTACTCACCCACTAATCAAATAGTGCAATATTAGTATGTTACAAGTAAACATAGATCCTGCATTAAACCATCAACATTTAAGGTGGAGATCAATATGTGATATAAGGATGATGAAACAGTCATGTGTAATTCAAAATGTCTAAGATTGTTCGCACCTTACCTTTTAGTGTCTAGCATTGCTTGAATAAAAGCGACAACCCTTTTCATATTTATAAGAAATCTCTGTTTAAAGTTGAGTCCATTGTATAATTCTGATAATATCATAAGTATGTTGGTGAATCACTATTAAATAGTGATGATACCAGGTGTTCGCAAAAAGGTCAGAGTATCCTGCCCCACTGTCACAAACACATGCAAAGGCAAGTCAACTGCTCACCCAAAAAGAAACACGGGAACATAAGGTATAGGACAAAATAGGAAAGTGCATCGGACATCATTTTTGTCACCACCGAGCCAAATTTGTGAATGTTCACCCAGGAAGCGCTGCCTAGTCAAACCCTCCCAGAACTTTTTTCGGAGAATGTGAAGATTCACCAACACTGCAGCCTCCTTCTTCTCGCGTCGCTATATGGCTGAAATAATGCCGATGCGTCGTTACATTTTATCTCACTCCCTCACTCACTCTTCTTCTTCTTCTTCTCAACACTGCAGCCATTTCTTCTTCTTCTTCTTCTTATTCTTCTAGAAGTGAGACTCAGTGACTTGGTTGATTGCATGTCATCGTTACTAGGCGGCGTGGTTCTTTACTCATAATACCAATCACTGGTATCTCCAGACCACCACCACATAGCTGGAATATTGGTGAGTGCGGCGTTAAACAATAAACACTGATTCCCCAGTTTTTAACGTCTACGACCTGCGTTATTTCCCCCTCTTCTCCAATAATAAGCTCATGTTGATGCCGGATATAACGAGAATACATAACGGCATTAAACCCATGTCACTCACCCACAGCTGGTCATACAAGCAGTTCGTTGTACTGTCGCACAGGTGTCGATAACCTAATAAAGGTCAATGTCAGTCCTACACTAGTACTTTTGTACGCGGATTTCTTCCATTAAAAACCGCTGTGAATCATTGAAAAGAACAAATATCACCACGGTGGTCCGATCTACGTGATATATGCTCAACCTTCACATCACAGCCCGTGTCAAGGTGACCCCAGTCTCTTATGATAAGGCGACTCTCGGAGCCGTCAGTTTGCTTCAGACAACGGAACCGAAAAGATGGCAGATATTCAGCTGAGCAAGTACCACGTGTCTAAGGACATCGGATTTCTCCTGGAACCTCTTCAGGTATTAGTGTTCCTGCAACTCTTTAGGTTTCTCTTAAGCATCATTGCGTTTATTAAGCCACAAAATTATTTTTTTTATCAATAACCAAACCATTTTTTTAGTAACTGATGTCTACATTCTGGTTATTGTTGGAACATTGTCACGAACAAAGATGTGCCAGTTTCATTTGTCAACTTTTATTATTTATTTCACATAATCTTTATGTTCTTTTAAGGATGTGCTGCCTGACTATTTCGAGCCCTGGAATCGCCTGGCGAAGTCTTTGCCAGAACTTGTAGCCAGTCACAAGTTCAGAGATGCAGTGAAAGAGGTGGGTCGCTTTCTTGTCAACTTGTTCGCGAACACCTGGTATCATTACTGTTTGATAGTGATTCATAAAACATTCTTATAGTCGGAATCGTACAATGGACTCTGCTTTAAATAGAGATTCCTGATTATTTTTGAAATGAGTTTGGTGCTTTTATTTAAATGTAAAAGATGCTGTATACAAGGGAAACAGTGTTACCCCGAACTCAATTATCGAGATTTACGGCGATATTATTCGTGAACGTCGCAATGAGCTTACACCAACATCCTGCTTGGCGTGAACTGTGGATAACTTCCAATGACTTCAAATTATTTTTGATTATATATTTTGAATGTTTCTTGTTCAGTCCTGTTACTGACATATGCTTTGAGGAGTTACATACCCTTAATCGAAGTCAGTTTTTAGAAAATCAAATATGGAACAAGCACTCTACCATAGTCTTGTATTACAGATGCCTTTGTTGGATCAGTCCAAGTTGGCCGGGTACCGTCAGAAGCGGTTGGCCCATCTGCAGCTGGTTCTCATTACATCCGGGTACCTGTGGCAGGAGGGGGAGGGTGGAGCAGTGCAGGTAGGGCTCCTTTAAATATTTTATAACATTTTCAAACTTCAGTATCAGATACTATCATGGTTGGGGCGATGGGAGCAATGAGCTTTATCCTAGAGCTTTTGTACCCCCACATCTCCTTACTGGCACTTACTATCTTAATCGAAAATTATGCTTACCCCCTTCGCGAACAGCTGGCGTCATCACCGATTTTTCATTCATATAATTTTGCCTTTTACGTCTTATGGAATCTTGTTTCGTCGGAGAATCGAGACTTGGTATTTTCTGGCTTTGAAGTTATATTTTTACATCACCTTTTACGCTGTTTGGAATGTGTTTCGCCCGATATTCGAGACTGAATACACTCCGGCGTTGGAGTCTTGAAAACCATGTTGACCTTCATAAAGGAGACAAAAGACGCTGGTCAAATGGCAGTCCTAGGAAATCTGATTCAGGTCACTGAAAACCAACTTGTGTTTCTGCCATCTCATATTTTTATACTAGTTTGGCATTAACTGATTGCCGTAATTACACGAACCAGTGTCTCAGCTTTGCACGAGGCATTGCAACATTTAGACTTCGGCTCCCAATTGACACAAGATGATCCTGCATAGTTCCCCCTTTAAGTGAGTGAGTGAGTGAGTGAGTATGGTTTTACGCCGCTTTTAGCAATATTCAAGCAATATCACGGCGGGGGACACCAGAAATGGGCTTCTCACATTGTACCCATGTCGGGAATCGAAACCGGGCCTTCGGCGTGACGAGCGAACGCTTTAACCACAGGGCTACCCGAACGCCGCCCCCCTCCCCCTTTAAGCTTTGAATTGTCAGAATTTATGCTATGACTTGCATTCGTGTTGTAGAACTTAGTTTCATGATTACTCCAGATCTAGTAATACAACTCAGGTGGTACTTGTAACGGGGTTGCACAGGTGGCCAAGTCGTCTAAGGCGCCGCGTTTCGCCTTGCAGAGTTGCGTCCCTTGGGCACGTCAGAAACCTGTGATTGTAGGTTCGAATCCCGGTTCGCCCCGATTATGTTTCGAGGTTGTCAGCACCATACCCGTGCTCGTGGATTTCACCGAAGTGGTAAACGTCTGAGACCTGCATCACTTCGGGCTTTCCTCCCATTTTAAGCTGACACGCCGCGATATGACTGGAATAATGTTAAAAGCGGCGTTAAACTCAACTCACTCACTACTTATCACTACCTGAACTTTAATGTAGATAATTTTCATGTCGGTCTTTATGAACATATATTCAAAAGGATTACTGAGCCGGTGGGGTACGATACGCTTACCTTTTCGCGAGCACACGTTATAATAACTATTTGACGGTGATTCATAAACATATTCTTCTGATATAGTCGAAATGGGAAAATGGAGATTTCTTTGCTTATAGAAATGGTTTAGTTGCTTTTATTTATATATAATCTGAATTAAATGAATTAATCTGACTTTTCATCTTAAAGGTGAGAATAAATGATAGTGATGATATGTTACATTATTTGGAATTGCTTGTCGTGTAGATAGAGGATTCATCACGAGTGTTTTTTAATATGGGAAATATCAACCGAGTCTTAGTTAATCGGTATTTGCCGAGCCTTTGGCGAGGCAAATACCGATTAACGGGACGAGGTTGATATTTCCCATATCAAAAAAACACGAGTGATGAGTTCTATTTATCATTTTCACATTTTTGCTTCCCAATTAAGGAATAATTGCATTAAACATTAACATAAAAAAACATCGAAAAAAGTCCCACTTTCGGTTATCTAATTTGCATATCTAATTTGCATACTTATGTCATTGGGGTATGACATACATGTTTTTATGTCATAAGCTTATGTCATGGATTAATGCTTTAGTTAAATGATAAATGTCACTTTATATATAGGTATATAATATGTGTTTCCCATAAATCGTGTTGATAGTATGTCTATCGTCTACTGTGATACATCCCGATCATTACGGCACATTACTTGTAGGGTGGACCTGGATGTAAGGCGGTGTCATTGCCATATACAACTTGTATATTTAGCTTGTATAGGAATGTGTTGCTATACCATAGTGACACACAACTTGAATATCTAGCGACTACTTGAATGTGCCGTGGCTCCATTTTGACACTTTACTTGTATATCTAGCGACTACCTGAAAATGTTTCGACACCATTTTGACACTTTACTTGTATATCTAGCGACTACCTGAATGTGCCGTGGCTCCATTTTGACGAATTACTTGTATATCTAGCGACTACCTGAATACGTTTCGGCATCATTTTGACATATTACTTGTATATCTAGCGACTACCTGAATGTGCCGTGACTCCATTTTGACGAATTACTTGTATATCTAGCGGCTACCCGAATGTGCCGTGGCTGCATTTTGACAAATCACTTGTATATCTAGCGGCTACCTGAATGTGCAGTGGCTCCATTTTGACAAATCACTTGTATATCTAGCGGCTACCTGAATGTGTTTCGGAACCTTTTTGACATATTACTGTATATCTAGCGGCTACCTGAATGTGTTTCGGAACCTATTTGACATATTACTGTATATCTAGCGGCTACCTGAATGTGCCGTGGCTCCATTTTGACAAATTACTTGTATATCTAGCGGCTACCTGAATGTGTTTCGGAACCTTTTTGACATATTACTTGTATATCTAGCGGCTACCTGAATGTGTTTCGGAACCTATTTGACATATTACTGTATATCTAGCGGCTACTTGAATGTGCCGTGGCTCCATTTTGACACTTTACTTGTATATCTAGCGGCCACCCGAATGTGTTTCGGCACCATTTTGACATATTACTGCATATCTAGCATCTACCTGAATGTGCCATGGCACCGTTTTGACATATTACTCGTATATTTAGCGGCTACCTGAATGTGTTGTGGCGCCCTTTTGACATATTACCGTATATCTAGCGGCTACCTGATTGTGCCGGGGCATTATTTTGACACATAACTTGTATATCTTGCGGCTACCTGAATGTGTTTCGGCATCATTTTGACATTTTACTTGTATATCTAGTGGCTACCTGAATGTGCCATGCCACCGTCTTGACATATTACTCGTATATTTAGCGGCTACCTGAATGTGTTTCGGCACCATTTTAACATATTACCCGTATATTTAGCGGCTACCTGAATGTGTTTCGACATCATTTTGACATATTACTTGTATCTCTAGCGGCTACCTGAATGTGTTTCCAAGCCATTGTGGAACGTGTCCAACGACCTGGGCTTGAAGCCTGTCCTGACTTATGCCGACATTTGTCTCACTAACTGCAAGGTGAAGAACGGGTGAGTTGTACTTAGAGCGTTGGTTTGAGTGATCTGAGTTTAACGTCGCTTTGAAGTATATTTAAACTTAATGTGGGTGAAGTAATTAAGGCTGTTTGACGTTTGTCATTTTCTTGAAACCAGCAAGCTGTTGGCGCCCACGGACCAAGGAATCGAACCTAGAATTGTAACCCACGGTTTTGAGACCTCAGATGACAATTTTTCGGCTACAAGTATCATCCTTCACCCTGTTATCCCAACAAACAGAGGATTTTATATGTGTGTTCAAGTCATACTATTTTTACGACAGAGATGTGTAAATTCCGGTATTTGTCATGGGAAGATCCGGGTAGAATAGGTCTTCAGCAACCCATGCTTGCCGTAAAAGGCGACTGTGCTTGTCGTAAGAGGCGACTAACGGGATCGGGTGGTCAGGCTCGTTGACTTGGTTGTTGCATGTCATCGTATCTCAATTGCGTGGATCGATGCTCATGATATCAATCACTGGATTGTCTTGTCCAGAGTCGATTATTTACAGACCGCCGTCATATAGCTACAATATTGCTGAGTGCGGCGTTAAACAACAAACCAACCAACCAACCAAAATTCCGGTATTTAGACACTCTGGTATATTCCGGTTTCGACAAATTGTGGTTCCGCTGCCATTGCGACTTGCTGTCCTTATAGGTCAACACTTAAATTCGTCTCTGTATGTAGACATCTTCTTCGGTAAACTTATTCAGACACTCGCTATCTCTTGGGAAATATCGGAATTAAGACACTCGTGTCGTAAACATAGTATGACATAAACACTCATATAATATCCTCTATATACAGTTCTGAATATATGATAATTCTGCGATGTCAAGACGTTTCGGGACTACGTCTTGACCCTTCATCATGTAAACAAGCACATGACGCATTTCTTGAGGGTCATGGCGAACAACATAGTCAAGGACCAACCTGTAGGTCCCGTGACCAAATCATGGAAACAAAGGTTTGAAAGTGTTTTTGAGTTTCCTGATGTATACTGAACAATCTGAGTGATTCAGATACTAGTGATTGTGACAGTGATTCCGACTCTGCGTCTGATGGGTATGACGCAGAGTAGGATGATGAACTGTGCACTAAAGTAAGGTTAGAAAAGCATTTCTGGACAATGGATTCTGAAATATGCTGCGTTATTGGCCAAGGATCCTGTTCCCAATGACTTTGCTGAAGCATGACAATTCTTCGTGCAGCCAATTCCACCATTTTCGATTTTCAAGGTCAAGGTAAACCTTTTTACTTTTAAAAGTTGCTTGGTTGAATTTGTCATGTCAGAAAACATATTATTAGACACTAAAATCATGACTATCGGACAATGTTAACTGTGTTTGTGAATTTCACCGACTGCCAAAAGTGTGTTGGCCTTTCAACGTTTTTGGCCATAGCTCCCCCATTTAAGCTCGGAAGTATAGCAGTATGACTGGACGAGTAATTTGATATGCATATCGACACAATTTTGAATTTTGACCCCTGTTTGACCTTTGTTGACCCTTCCACAAAATGCCCAGGATTTTCAACCGGGCAGCCCAAGTCAAAATTGTTCAGTATACATCAGGAAACTCAAAAACACTTTCAAACCTTTGTTTCCATGATTTGGTCACGGGACCTACAGGTTGGTCTTCTAGTAACATGGATGACAACGTCTGAGATTACGTTTCGGGGCATGGTACCTTTATCAAGCTTTCACCTGTGCCGAAACGTCGTCTTATGACATATAGATGTAACGAAGAGTTGCCCCCATTCTGGTGTTGGTCCTTATATGACAACTGCACCATGCCAAAATATATATTCTTCGTTTTTTTGTTGGACTGCTTGTTTCGCCGACGGCTTATATATTTTGACATACATTATGTCATTTTTTCATCACGACATCTACAGTATAATGTTGAAAGTATGGAGGACGCCCAGGGATATCCTGATTAACGGATCCTATTTAACGAGTCATGGGCACGGACAATGCCACTTTGTAAATATGTAAGTGTTTCCAGCAGAAATTGGCCAGAATGTCAGGGTAACCGGATTAAGGGGGTCCGGACTTCTGTGGGTTCACTGTATACATTTACCGAGAATTTGAATCCTTCATGTCAACTTATACCCGTGTATCTCTATTTCATTATAATAGTGACATCGAGGTCATGTACAATCTACCCGGGGGAGCCGGCACTGAGTGGTTCTTGAAGGTCTCCGGACTCGTGGAACTTGCTTTTGGCAAAAGTGGTCAGGTGAGCTAAAACAATGTATCATCACTACGTAAATACTTTAATTTGTATTTTTAGGTCAGGTCACAGACTTTACTTGTACACCATGATAGTGTAGCTAAAGGTAGTCATGGCAATCAGTCGCGAGATGCTCGGTGGTCATTTGTATTAGAATGTCCAGTTCCACAAAGCTCACCTGGTTTCACCTGGATGACCATCTTTAGTTTATCAGCACCATACCATTATCACTAAAGTGTACACGACCTGTATAACTTCGAGTCTTCCTTTACTTTAAAACTTTATAACTGCGCCTAACTGTGTTGTAAAACGAATATATTTCTTTACGTTTTTATTTATTTATAAGCATCAAAATCTCTACACTTGTACATAGGAGTCGTAATTCAAAATTGACATACCGTTTTTATTAGTTTCAACAAAATCAGTAATGGTACTCTCGTTTCACTGGAGTTTCTGGTTCATCGATCACTTGATTGTCTGGTTTGTTTTCTGGCTGACGTCGCGTGGCAGGAGCACTGCTGTGATGCGTCAGGCAATAGATACTTACTTTTTAATGCAGGTAAGGATAAGAATTTATGGATGAACAACTTCTTTATTACAATTAAGAGCGACGTTTCGGTGTAGGTTCTAACACAGTTATCAAACAAGTAATATACACTCTGTATATCCCTTGCTTGATAACGGTGTTAGAACCTACACCGAAACGTCGCTCTTAATTGTAATAAAGAAGTTGCTCATCCATAAATTCTAATCCTTACTTTGTACTCCAACTTCTAAATGCCTATCAAAGAAGCTTTATAATGCAAATTGTATAAATGGCGTGTGCTACCGGTAGGGCAGGATATGCTTACCCGTTTCGCGAACCTGGTGTCATCACTGATTTTCGGTCCATTTATATAATTTCCAATTCTATTTGCCCTTTACGCCAAGTGGAATCTGTTTCGGTAGAAAACCTAGGATGCTTAATCTCTTGCATTGCCAATTTATCTTCCACATCAAGCGGGAATGCGTGGTATAACTGAAGTATTTGTTAACTGTTTGATTAGCGTTCTAGAAGTTGATGAGAAAATAGAGAAACGTGCAACTGTATGGATAGCAACTTCTGGATTATTGCACTTAGCTACGTTTCGATTTAGATTTTTACACGTCATCAAGCTGAAATGCTTGATAAGTTTGTAGGAACGTCGCTAAAAGTTGAGAAAAACAGAACCGAAATATTATTCTGAGCGGCGTTCAAGGCTAACGACAAGGTCTGAGATGTCTGGTTTCTGTGTTACTGGCAGTTCAGAATGTACTGGATGATGTTAAGGCTAACGACAAGGTCTGAGATGTCTGGTTTCTGTGTTACAGGCAGTTCAGAATGTACTGGATGGTGCTAAGGCTAACGACAAGGTCTGAGATGTCTGGTTTCTGTGTTACAGGCAGTTTAGAATGTACTGGATGGTGTTAATGCTAACGACAAGGTCTGAGATGTCTGATTTCTGTGTTACAGGCAGTTCAGAATGTACTGGATGGTGTTAAGGCTAACGACAAGGTCTGAGATGTCTGGTTTCTGTGTTACAGGCAGTTCAGAATGTACTGGATGGTGTTAAGGCTAACGACAAGGTCTGAGATGTCTGGTTTCTGTGTTACAGGCAGTTCAGAATGTACTGGATGGTGCTAAGGCTAACGACAAGGTCTGAGATGTCTGGTTTCTGTGTTACAGGCAGTTTAGAATGTACTGGATGGTGTTAAGGCTAACGACAAGGTCTGAGATGTCTGGTTTCTGTGTTACAGGCAGTTCAGAATGTACTGGATGGTGTTAAGGCTAACGACAAGGTCTGAGATGTCTGGTTTCTGTGTTACTGGCAGCTCAGAATGTACTGGATGGTGTTAAGGCTAACGACAAGATCTGAGATGTCTGGTTTCTGTGTTACAGGCAGCTCAGAATGTACTGGATGGTGTTAAGGCTAACGACAAGGTCTGAGATGTCTGGTTTCTGTGTTACAGGCAGTTTAGAATGTACTGGGTGGTGTTAAGGCTACCGACAAGGTCTGAGATGTCTGGTTTCTGTGTTACAGGCAGTTCAGAATGTCCTGGATGGTGTTAAGGCTAACGACAAGGTCTGAGATGTCTGGTTTCTGTGTTACAGGCAGTTCAGAATGTCCTGGATGGTGCTAAGGCTAACGACAAGGTCTGAGATGTCTGGTTTCTGTGTTACAGGCAGTTCAGAATGTACTGGATGGTGCTAAGGCTAACGACAAGGCCAAGATGGCATCCGGCTTTACTGACTTGACGGCTGCAATTGGCAACATGCAGACTACCTTGGCAAGGATGAACGGTGAGTTACTACCTCCACGAAAAGCCATTGTTACGATATAATGATGATGGTGATGATGATGATGACGATAATAATGACTATAATAATAATAATAATAATAATAATAATAATAATAATATAAAATTAGACATTTATATAACGCCTTTTCGAAACTTGTGCTCAAAAGTACTTTCAGTCATAGTCTTATGCAAACAGATAGGTTTTGAGCTGTGTGTTGAATGAGTATCGTTTAGTGGTTATTTAATACAATGAAAACGTAAAATACATCACGAGAATGGAAAAGGTGGACATCTTTGAACGTTTGGGCCGAGACATTAATATCCCATAATATTTTCAACTCTACTTTGCCTTTTAGCCCTATGGAATCTGTTACGTGGCGGATTATCGAAACTGATTATTCTCTTGCGTGGATGCTTAAATATATTTACTTAAGTAAACTTACAACAGTCGCAGGGACACGATCATTTGTTTTGTGATTACTATATCATAAACTGACCATATTTATTAGACGTCTCGGCCAGTTACACAAAGCTTTCTTGGACCAAGACTGTCATAATGTAAGTATATGCGAAGTATAGGTGAAACGACAGCCTGAGAAAGTTATGTGTGTCGCGGCTCTAGTCTGTTATTGTTATTTGAGGTAAGGTAAGGTGAAATAGAGTTTAACGTCGTGTCAAAGACCCTTTCACTCACACACCGACATGCATCTTTCATCAGACGTCCGGGGGTTAAATAATACAGTTCAGTTAGACAATAAAACATGTCTTTCTTAGTTTGCTACGAGAATATGCTCTGTTAATGGCGTTCAAATAACTAAAACACGGCCAAATAACAACCAAAGTACAAGTAACAAGATGAGAAATATTTGATAGGCCATAAAGGTTCATTTATCCAACAGAGCGGATCAATGGTAATTACAGGCAAGTTCAATTCCACGGCTTCGAGAAACGTACTGGCTTCTGTGTGCCCAATATTTCGCTATATTGCGTTGACTGTAGTAAAAACTAACATTTATTTCCTCACAATTATTTTCAGAGAATTTGACGCCTGAGCATTTCTACAACGGTGTGCGGCCATTCCTTAACGGGTAGGTGAACTAATAATGATTAATATTTTGGCTCAAACACAGCCTAGTGGTTAAAGCGTTCACTCGTCACGCCAAAGGTCCGGGTTCAATTCCCGACATGGGTACAATGTGTGAAGCCTATTTCTGGTGTCCTCCGCCGTGATATTGCTAGAATATTGCTGAAAGCGGCGTTAAACCATACTCACTCACTCACAGTATCTTAAGCGACATCATGGCATGGCTCGATCGTTTTATTACCGTCTTCGTCATGCTTGTGGTTTTGCCTCAGAGCTCCATCCATTGTACGACCCAGTATATGTAGAGGGCGTCATGGAAGAACGTTAAGTACAAAAGTCTTCGGAACGGGCCTGTATACAGCCTCAGACGTATACAACAAACATAACCTTGTCCTTTTTGATAGATCCAACTAAAGCATTTATATGATCGAATTCACTGTCACATTTGACACTAACATAAACATGGCAAATATGCGGGCCTCGCTCACGAAATGTCACGATTGCATCCCAAGTACCAAGTTGTAAGACTCCTCATTGTTCTCGGTGCCTTGGACCTCCCAGTCTGTTGACTGACATCGGGAGAGTCCCCGGGTTTGTTGCAAGGAACACAGCCCTTCTGATTAATCTGGTTAATGCAGGAGGCTGCAGTGTTGGGGAGTCTTCACATTCTCCGAAAAGTTCTCGGTGGGTTTGACCAGGCAGCATTTCCTGGGAGAAGTCCCATTCATTGTCTGGGCTGCGTGTAGAGGGGGCAAGGGCCCTGAGCTGATGATGAGCCAAACCTGCCAGGATCACCCAAACCCTCTTTGCTGCATTTTTTATATTTATCTGTATCATAATTTACCTCCAGGTTTGGGGGACCAGCCAGTCCTATCAGTGGAGGACTTGTATATGAAGGTGTATCAGACAAGCCTGTGACGGTACGTAACAGTTTGACCCATCTGGAATATTACCTCAAATGATGAAAAAAATGACCAAATATTTCAGTGTTATGCTGTATTATTCTACGCCAAAACATGAATACTTTGTACTAATGAATGCTTAATTTCAAGTAACTGTCACTTTGTCTAACATATATAGTATTTAATTTACACTTCTTTAGAGAAATCATTATAACATACGTGTGGCGTATGAGCTAGTGGCCATCATGAATTATGAAGCAGTCTATTTATGCAACTTGGTCCTGGACGAGAGGTGAAATGGGATTTAACGTCGCGTCCAAGATTATTGCACTTTTATAGCGACGTGCTTGTACGTGTGTGTGTGTGGCTGCTTGTACCAGTCCGGACTGATGCCGATTTATAGTGCTAGCTCACTGAGATACCATGCCGCAGTTTAACATGAATACCCCACTCAGACACAGTTCACTCACTCCCAGCCGACAATCCTTGTTTTAGCCCCTTAATGCCGAGCGTCAGACAGGGTAACAACAAGTACCATCTTTTAACGTCTTTTGGTGTGACGCGTCCGGGGATCGAACCCCGGACCTTCCAATCTCCAATCTCTACCGCTAGACCACGGAGGCGGTCACTTGGTCCCGGAGGTCTGATAATTATGGGAATGACAATGGTGATACCATTAATTGCGAATTATTGTTGATAAATGTGTGACTTTTTTCCCACAATGATTTATTGTATTCTGTTAGTATCTATGGTGTGCGTATGATATTGAACATTCAGGGGCGATCGGGTAGCCTAGTGGTTAAAGCGTTTGCTCGTCACGCCGAAGACCCAGGTTCGATTCCCGACATGGGTGCAATGTGTGGAGCCCATTTGTTGTGTCCCCTGCCGTGATATTGCTGGAATATTGTAAAAGCGGCGTAAAACCTCACTCACTCACTAGTGAACATTTGGGCACCAGGCACGACGTCAGTCAAGATCCGATAGGATCCGGAGGCGTCCATGATTAATATCGCCATGGATAACGAAGAAGTTTCTTTTCTGACAGATGATCGGCGGCAGTGCAGCTCAGAGCAGTACCATGCAGGTCCTTGACGGCCTCCTGGGCATCACACATTCCCCAGGTCAGTTGTGTCTCAACATCCATCAATGTGTCTCATTTATAAACCTGTGTCCCAGAACGCATCTATGTTGATGTGTTCCAAATCGGTAATTGGGATTTGTCTTGCGTGTGTGATCACTGTGACGTATTTGAAAAACCGATGTTAAAATTACCACGATTCTTTGAAAATTCTTTGATTCCAGAAAAGCAGGCCTTCTTGGACGAAATCAGGAACTACATGCCTCCCTCCCACAAACAAATGCTGGCTGATTTGACGAATATGCCGCGCAAGGTACCTCAAGTTGGTAAGATGAACTTCAGTATATTGTTTATGTCTCCTGTAAAAAAGTTTTTGAGTGGAACTATTTCTATGTACACTCATGACCTTTTCTTTTAAATTGCAGTGGCAGAGACCAAGGATGCCAATCTCACCAAAGCATTCAACGGCTGCGTTGCCGCTTTCGTCCAGTACCGTAGTTATCACATACAGGTCGTAACAAAGTAGGTATATCATGTGTTATCACATACAGGTCGTAACAAAGTAGGTGTATCATGTGTTATCACATACAGGTCGTAACAAAGTAGGTATATCATGTGTTATCACATATAGGTCGTAACAAAGTAGGTATATCATGAGCTATCACATACAGGACATAAAAAGGTAGATATTGATAGCAAGAATTAACACATACCTGTCGTAATAAAGTAGGTAGATCATGCGTTACCACATACAGATCGTAACAAAGTAGGTATATCATGAGATATCAAATACGGGTCGTAACGAAGTAGGTATAGCATGAATTATCACATACAGGTCGTAACAAAGTAGGTATATCATGATTTATCAGATACAGGTCGTAACAAAGTAGGTGTGTCAAATGTTATCCCAAACAGGTCGTAACAAAGTAGGTGTATGATGTATTATCACCGACAGGTCGTAACAAAGTAGGTGTATCATGTGTTTTCACATACAGGTCGTAACAAAGTAGGTATAGCATGTGTTAGGTATATCACAGGTCGTAGAAAAGTAGGTAGATCGCGTGTTATCACATACAGGTCGTACGAAAGTAGGTAGATTATGTGTTATCACATAGAGGTAGTAACAAAGTAGGTATAGCATGTGTTAGGTATATCACAGGTCGTAACAAAGTAGGTATATCATGAGATATCAAATACGGGTCGTAACAAAGCAGGTATATCATGAGATATCACATACAGGTCGTAACAAAGTAGGTATATCATGATTTATCAGATACAGGTCGTAACAAAGCAGGTGTATCATGTGTTATCACAAACAGGTCGTAACAAAGTAGGTGTATCATGTCTTATCACCGACAGGTCGTAACAAAGTAGGTGTATAATGTGTTATCACATACCGGTCGTAGCGAAGTAGGTATATCATGTGTTATCACATACAGGTCGTAACGAAGTAGGAATATCATGTGTTATCATACAGGTCGTAGTAAAGTAGGTATATCATGCGTTATCACATAAGATCGTAACAAAGTAGGTATATCATAAGTTATCACATACAGGTCGTAACAAAGGTATATCGTGAGATATCAAATATAGGGTCATAACGAAGTAGGTGCACCATGTGTTATCACAAACAGGTCGTAACAAAGTAGGTGTGTCATGTCTTATCACAGACAGGTCGTAAACAAAGTAGGTATACCATGATTTATCAGATGTAGGTCGTAACGAAGTAGGTATATGTAGGTATCTGTAGGTAAAACAGATCGTAAATAAGTTGGAATATTATGAGTCATTGGAGAGGCAGGATCCATGAAGCGTTCGTAGCTCTACGATATTCGTAAGCCTATGATAAAGTATATTGCTACGATAGCTCGTAACGCTACGAACGCTTTGTGGATCGCGCAACGCTAGGTGGAATTGAACACGGGTCTCCTGCGTTTTAACTACCATGCCACCCTGCCTCGATTTCAGTCTCTGGTTATCTCCCAAAACGAGGCTTTTATTACCGTGGTTTTTGGCGTCAAGTGGTTTTCTACCCTCATCTTTAGAAAAAGGTGTAGACAAACAAACATCGAATTGTGCCGTGTGCAACTAGACAAGCCAACTGTGACGTATTTAGATCACGTGTTACTAGGTCTTCCAGCCTTTGGCTCTTGATCGATGGTGTTCTTTAACATGTTTTCTATGCCTGTAGGTACATCGTGACAGCATCAAAGTCAGACTCTCCCAAGAGTCTCGCTTATAAGGACACCGGTAAATCAGGTGAGGGATATATTTTTATACAGTAAAGTACGGTTATAACGAACTTAAAGGGACTACTAATTTTAGTTCGTTATAACCGTAGTTCGTTATAAGCATAAATACAGCATAACTACAGCAAATAGTCGGGACCAAAAAAGTAAGTTCGTTATATCCGTCAGTTCGTTATAAGCGTGTTCGTTATAACCGTAGTTTACTGTATTCTTGTCTTTATTATGTGTCAAATGTTATGGGGAATATTTTTATGAACGTTATCGGATGTTCTATACAGTAAAAAAATATAATGTTGAGTCATTATCAATATTTCCTAGTTTCTAAAAACATGGAATAGGAACATAAAATGGGTTTATGGCTGCATTGTAACCCATTCAGAGATTTTGTGAAAGATTTTAAGGTTTCAGAATTTAGCTCATCTGGGATATTTATATGTCTATTTTTATTTTTAATCACCGTATTATACTTTCAAAATGCGAGATGTGTTTGATAGAGTGAGTGAGTGAGTGAGTTGTGTTTAACGCCGCTTCTTAAGAGTATTCCAGTTATACCACGGCGTGTCAGCTTAATGTGGGAGGAAAGCCCCAAGTGATACATTTTAAGACGTTTACCACTTCGGTGAAACCCACGAGCACGGGCATGGTGCCGACAAACCTCGAAACATAATCGGGGCGAACCGGGATTCGAACCCACAACCATAGGTTTCTGGCGTGCCCAAGGGACGCAACTCTGCACAGCGAATCGCGTTACTTTGTCTTTGAGTACAGTATAGTCTTATTGATAAAGAGGATATTTCATGTTCTCTCATAGAATGTCGGTGGTGTGTGTGTGTGTGTGTGTGTGTGTGTGTGTGTGTGTGTGTGTGTGTGTGTGTGTGTGTGTGTGTGTGTGTGTGTGTGTGCGCGCGTGCGTGTGTGTGGAGGAGGGGGGGGGGGGGGGGGTATTTTCACGAGTGGCGTATTTAAAAATATCTCCTTTTCCCCCGTCACGAGATGAGAGAAACAAAGTATTTCACATGGAATATCCTATTTTTGATATACTTTTTGTGTAGTTGTCCTCATTACAAATGAAAAACCTTGAAATATAAATTCTGCCTTCCTACCTAACACACAGGACCGGTTATTGTTTGCCAAATCTTAAAAATATAAAAAGTGAAAAATAAATATTTTGGGTTACGAAAATTATGTATTATACATATAGATATGATTATATACAAAATCAATATAACAAAAAATAATCTTGCAAAACTACGAGACCGCTGTTGGAAGCGAAAGAATACACGCTGGTCAAGTAACAAGAATGGCGTTTTGCGGAACGATTATTCTTAATTGACGAATAAATGAGAAATTTACAGTTTATAGCGAAACATTTTCAAGAGAATAACGAAAGGTATAGAGCGATATTAACTCCATAAACCACCATCTGTCTTTAGTTTGCCTTGTCAATGTGGAACTAACGTAAAACAGAAGTCAACATGTTGTGTAGGGGCTAGACACTTACAATAAAGGGAGACAATTTGAGGGGAGGTCACTCTTGTATGAAACTAGTTCCGTCAAAGTGTTTTGTACACAGCAGTTAAATATCAATTGTGATATTCACTGCAATGATATATCACTTTCCTCAACTTCGGAAAACTTTTACACTGAAGTACATAATAAATTGTCTTCTTTCAGATCTCATCCCTTTCCTGAAGGAAGTGCGGGATGACACGGAGAAGGTGCAGCAGTGAGGACCGTCTGGATGCTGACAGTGTGCTGAGCGTCTGGTAAGAGTTATAACACAGCAGCATCCACAACTTCACATTCAGGAACTTCATATTCTAATAATAAGAAATTCCTTGAAAAACATATATAGTTTTCCACGTCTGTGTTTATTCCACGTATTTTACTGCTGTAAAAATAACATTTGATAAATTTGATAATTGCGTAATGTTAAGTAATGTTGGTCATTATTAATCTACCTTTAAATAAAAAAACACCCATCTGCACTTTCAAAACATTATTCTCGGGGTGTATGTTGTTATATTTTTTTTTCACATCGCCCACAACGGCCGACTACAGAGACCAAATATATATCATCACCTATGAATTTTTTTATCAAGACCTGGTTAAGTCATTCCTAAAATTGTACGGAAAACGTTCAGAGTACTTCACTAAATATGACATGTCTCTTGGAAACGTGATATACGATTCTATCCCATGCTTTGGCCTTTGAATTGAGTCTTTGAGCTCCTCACTCACTGGCACTGTAAAAAAACAAATAAACACTTGCACTTTTTAACTGAAAATTGTGAGAGTGGCATGTGCTACATTTAGAACAGGACACACTTACCCTTTTCGAAAACACCTGGTATCACTAATTACTTTCAGTGATCCATTGATTTTCCTTATTATTTTGCCTTTTACGCCCTTCGGCAGATAATCGAGACTGGTGACTCCCTGGAATTGATGTTCTGAATCACCATTTTCAGCTTTCCTGGCCTCATTGGTGTTGGAAGACGGCAGCAGTAACAGCATCACTGGCCACCACTCTGTTGTCTGTTTTGTCACACTAAGGACGCCATATTGGCGGTACCTTCATAACGCCAGTGCGAGGACGCCAGCGTGCCATGGATTAAGTTCTGTATTAGTTCCTTGTGTTAGCAGGCATAATAGACCGTGTTTTGAAAGGCTGCAGCTCTTTCTGATGCCAATGCTGCTATAGAGCTTCTCATACGATGAGTTGTGAAAACTGACAATGCATTGTGTAATAAAAGCTGGAAGTTATTTATTGTGTAATGCCTTCATTGATAAGTTGTTTGAGCATGAGTTTGTTTGTTTGTTTGTTTGTTGTTTAACGCCGCACTAAGCAATATTCCAGCTATATGACGGCGGTCTGTAAATAATCAAGTCTGGACCAGACAATCCAACTGACATCATGAGCATCGATCCATGCAATTGAGATACGATGACATGCATCAACCAAGTCAGTGAGCCTGACCACCCGATCCCGTTAGTCCCCTCTCACGACAAACATAGTCGCTTGTTTTGTAGTGGGGGAATTAGTGGGGGTTTTCACCGGCTCTGGCATTATTACACACGTGACGTTTACTCCTTGATTTTGACAGACCAGTGTTCACAGTTAATATGAAACTGGGATTTGAAACCACAATCAGCGGATCCTGGAACGACTAAAGGGCACAACTCTGCACACTCCAGTCCAGCTTAGTATTTTAGGGAACACATTATACTAAATATAAACACATAAATAGACACAGCACCACCTTTTGCAACATTGCAGCCATAAAGTAGTTTTGAACATCAAAACTTGGCTTCACACATCGTATGTTCCCGTGCAGGGAATCGAACCTTGATCTTTGGCGTGCCGAGCTAATGCTTTTACCACTAGCCTACCTCCCGGGAATATATAGTTATGTATTAACCATAAATGTATTATTTATTAAACCCATAATATCTTTCACATATCAAATAATTCTCTTTCGAAAACAAAGTGATGGCGTTAAGATCTTCAAGTACGTTAGCAGAGATGTCCACCATATTGAACCTGTATTACAATAACATGAAAGCCTCCAAAAATACAATGTGAACACCAGTACCTACAGTATCAAAAGCGAACACCCTCAGAAATACACATGGTGAGGTGAGGTGAGGTGAAATGGGGTTTAACGTCGCGTCCAAGATTATTGCATTTATATAGCGACGTGCATGCACGTGTGTGTGTGTGTTTGTGTGGCTGCTTGTACTAGTCCAGGCTGATGCCGATTTATAGTGCTAGCTCACTGAGATACCATGCCGCAGTTTAACATGAATACCCCACTCAGACACAGTATACTGACTCCGAGCCGACCAGTCCTTGTTTTAGCACCTTAATGCCGAGCGCAAGACAGGGTAACAACAAATACCGTCATTAAACGTCTTTTGGTATGACGCGGCCGGGGATCGAACCCCGGACCTTCCGCTCTCCGGGCGGACGCTCTACCACTAGACCACGGAGGCGGTCAAATACACATGGAGGAGAGACATGTAATCAAAACATGAAGGCCCAGAATACGGTACTCTGTGAACTTATTGCGTATCATAAAATAGTGGCCGTAACATCTTCCCGGGGCAAGGGCGTTAACTGACTATCAAAGTCGAGTTTCCGCCCTGCCGAACTACAGGAATTTCGATCGTAGCGCCATGAGTGGCTATTACGAGTTGTGTCCCTTCTATGTATGTCCTTCCTATTGACCAATCAGATTCCATCACTCATATCACTTGCATTTGCTTCAAACAAAATGACGGCGCCCAATCAAGACGGGCTGATCGATAATCAAAATCTTTATTGTAATAAAACGGGTCATACCCCGCGAAGTGCATCAAATCACGTGAGCACCTTGATTAAAAATATGAAAAGATTTGGGAAATATCTGTCGACGCCCCACCTGACGTTGAAATCCATGTTGTTTACGATTAGACTATGCATCGTCCAGCTAAAAAGTAACTCCGGAATCCCAGCCTAGTTTGGCAAGGATGGAAACTGGACTTTTACAGATATTTTATCCACCACACCCACCCACACGCACGCACACACGCATACACTGACGCACAGACAGGCACAGACAGGCACACACAGGCGCGCGCACGCACGCACACACACACACACACACCCCACACCCACACACCCACACCCCCTCACACACACACACTGACACAAAAACTGACACACACACAAACACTGACTCACACTGACACACACACACACTGACACACACACACACACACACACACACACACACACACACACACACACACACACACACACACACGGTTATCGGTCGGTTATAATCTCAGAAGAAACTTGTGAACATCATCTACTACAAGGACTATTTTAAGACCGTGTTTCTTACTTAACGGTGACATACGTGAATTATCGGGATTATTCGAACCGAGACTGGCGGAGCCTGGAGCGGTTGAGGTATGTAAATGTTCTCGACAACAAGCCATCAATTACTATGACGTTCGGACTATCTAAAGTAACCCATTGAATCAATCGGCGTGGAGAGCTGACTTCCCTGAGCCTGGTTCGACTATGTACGTGTAGAATAATGCACGTACGAGGGTTTTTATGATATATTTTTTTAATTATAGGGTTTGATATTTGATATTAGGGTTTGAAACATCATAAGAACCCGAGGGGAAGTGTTTTATATAACTTATAAACCGAAAACATTTATCAACATTTTCATGTGTCAACCATACTTTCCATGAACCTTAAGAAACGGGTGTAAAATAGCTGTGGCTGGCGTACGGTTCTTGACACAGACATTCTTTAAAGCACTGTGATTTATCAGCGCCTCTGGAGGCTAGTGATAACTCACTGGGCTACAGAAACCACATTCAACCACAATTCCTATCATACGCCGAAGAATCGCATATTAGTATCCCCCGAACCTGCGAAGTATGGTACACTTTCTCACATTAAGCATAATGTGTTTGTTTGTTGTTTAACGCCACACTCAGCAACATTCCAGCTATATGACGACGGCCAGTAAATAATCGAGACTGGTCCAGATGATCCAGTGATTGACATCATGAGCATGAACCAATTCAAACATTTGGGATACGATGACATAAAATCAGCCAAGTCATCAAGTCTGATCCCGTTAGTCGCATCTTACAAGCAGCATAAGTTGCTAGGGACCTGTTCTAACCGGATCCCCACAAGGGGATTACCCTACTTACAAGCTCTCAACAATGACCGACAAGTGGCTCCAATCCGCATTAAGTTCTATACTGACCGGGGACACGGGTGGCCCAGTCGTCTAAGGCGCCGCGATTCGCTGTGCAGAAACCTATGATTGTGGGTTCGAATTCCGGTTCGCCCCGATTATGTTTCTAGGTTTTTCAGCACCATACCCGTGCTCGTGGATTTCACCGAATTGTAAAACGTCTGAGACCTGCATCACTTCGGGCTTTCCTCCCACACTAAGCTGACACGCCGTGATGTAACTGGAATACTGTTAAAAGCGGCGTTAAACTCACTCACTCATTGGAATGCCCATGAGGTTTCTTAAAAGTGTTTATGCGTTTGTTATTTATTAATAACAGAAAAGAGATCAGATTTTGTGAAGATAAAGTTTTTGTCAACTTATACCCGTAGACGGTATGATATTTGATCTGAACCCGTCAATGACAACACATCTTCTAAAACATTCAGAAGATGAAAGCAAAATAATCTCATAATAATCATATTTCTCAAACAATCATGGTTACAGAGTTCAAGGCCTTAAAAAGCTTTCAATATATTTTATAGTAGACATGTGGAGGACATTTCCAAATATGACGCATCGGTGACCAAAATGATGTACGATGCAATTCCCTATTTTTACCATCTTCCCGAGGCAAGAGAGTTAACTGACTTTAAAGTCCAGTTTCAACTCTTGCTGAACTGGCATGGAATTCCTGGGCTCGATCGTAGCGCCACCAGTGGTTATTACAAGTTATGTCCATTCTATGCCTCTCCTATGGACGAATCAGATTCCACTTCTCGTACCACTTGCATTTGTTTCAAACGAAATGGCGGCGCCCAGTCAAGACGATCTGATCGATAATGAAGACCTATATTGTGATAAAACGGGTCTTACATCACGAAGTGCATCAAATCACGCGAACACTTTGATTAAAAACATGAAATGATTTGAAAAATATCTGTTGACAACGAGTTGGCGGTGCACATGTTTTGCAAATCCTGCAATCGACCGAAATCTGCACGACAGTTTGCGAACCGGTTTTCGATTTCGGTGTGCGATTTTGATTTGACTATGCATAGACTCGTTAGTACAGCCAATATGTAACTCCATAATACCAGCCTAGTTCGGCAACTGTGGAAACTGGACTTTTATAGTCAGTTAACTCTCTTGCCTGGGGAAGATGTATTTTGACTTGTACCATACATGTATGTTCCCTGTCTTTTTAGATGAACATTTAATTTGTGTTTCTGTCGGGTGCCACAAGTGGGGCAGGATATGCTCACTTTTTCCTGAACTGAGAATATCATCAGTATTTGATAGTGATTCATAAACCTATGTTTATGATATAGTCGGAATCGTACAATCGACAAATGATTATGGAATTTTTGCTTGTCGGTACCCATAAGTAAATCTTTGATATAGTCACGTGACGATATAATTATATATATATGATGAACTGATGAATTTAGATACATTCAAATCAAGGCAACTTGATACGATCTAGCCGTTGAGAAGAAATAATAAATAATTCCTATCAACACGTGTTAGACAAACGTGTTGAAATGATGGCCATGGTCAGGATACAAATGTCCTTGAATCCTATGACGCCCTAAGTCAAATAAGAAATTACTACATGTACGTCTGAAGGAATGTGTGCATGACAACATTAATCAGGTTATAAAACAACTGTGTGCTATTAAGCTGTCATCCCCGTTTGGTCAAGGAATAAAATGCGTTTATTAGGACATAAACATTCTGTGTGTCTTCAATGTTGTGAATAATATGCTGATCTTGGTGGCTGGAATTTTGTATGGTGATGACCTCTATGTCAGCTACAGCTGCGAAAACAGATATTTTGTATGGTGATGACCTTTATGTCAGCTACAGCTGCGATACCAGATATTTGGTATGGTGATGACCTCTATGTCAGCTACAGCTGCGAAACCAGATATTTGGTATGGTGATGACCTCTATGTCAGCTACAGCTGCGATAACAGATATTTTGTATGGTGATGACCTTTATGTCAGCTACAGCTGCGATAACAGATATTTTGTATGGTGATGACCTTTATGTCAGCTACAGCTGCGATACCAGATATTTTGTATGGTGATGACCTCTATGTCAGCTACAGCTGCGATACCAGATATTTGGTATTGTGATGACCTCTATGTCAGCTACAGCTGCGATAACAGATATTTTGTATGGTGATGACCTTTATGTCAGCTACAGCTGCGATAACAGATATTTTGTATGGTGATGACCTTTATGTCAGCTACAGCTGCGATACCAGATATTTTGTATGGTGATGACCTTTATGTCAGCTACAGCTGCGATACCAGATATTTTGTATGGTGATGACCTTTATGTCAGCTACAGCTGCGAAACCAGATATTTGGTATGGTGAATACCTTTATGTCAGCTACAGCTGCGATACCAGATATTTTGTATGGTGATTACCTTTATGTCAGCTACAGCTGCGATACCAGATATTTTGTATGGTGATGACCTTTATGTCAGCTACAGCTGCGAAACCAGATATTTTGTATGGTGATGACCTTTATGTCAGCTACAGCTGCGAAACCAGATATTTTGTATGGTGATGACCTTTATGTCAGCTACAGCTGCGAAAACAGATATTTTGTATGGTGATGACCTTTATGTCAGCTACAGCTGCGATACCAGATATTTTGTATGGTGATGACCTCTATGTCAGCTACAGCTGCGATACCAGATATTTTGTATGGTGATGACCTCTATGTCAGCTACAGCTGCGATACCAGATATTTGGTATGGTGATGACCTCTATGTCAGCTACAGCTGCGATACCAGATATTTTGTATGGTGATGACCTTTATGTCAGCTACAGCTGCGAAACCAGATATTTTGTATGGTGATGACCTCTATGTCAGCTACAGCTGCGAAACCAGATATTTTGTATGGTGATGACCTCTATGTCAGCTACAGCTGCGAAACCAGATATTTTGTATGGTGATGACCTCTATGTCAGCTACAGCTGCAAAAACAGATATTTTGTATGGTGATGACCTCTATGTCAGCTACAGCTGCGATACCAGATATTTTGTATGGTGATGACCTTTATGTCAGCTACAGCTGCGATACCAGATATTTTGTATGGTGATGACCTTTATGTCAGCTACAGCTGCGATACCAGATATTTTGTATGGTGATGACCTTTATGTCAGCTACAGCTGCGAAACCAGATATTTGGTATGGTGAATACCTTTATGTCAGCTACAGCTGCGATACCAGATATTTTGTATGGTGATTACCTTTATGTCAGCTACAGCTGCGATACCAGATATTTTGTATGATGATTACCTTTATGTCAACTACAGCTGCGATACCAGATATTTTGTATGGTGATTACCTTTATGTCAGCTACAGCTGCGATACCAGATATTTTGTATGGTGATGACCTTTATGTCAGCTACAGCTGCGATACCAGATATTTTTGTATGGTGATGACCTTTATGTCAGCTACAGCTGCGAAACCAGATATTTGGTATGGTGAATACCTTTATGTCAGCTACAGCTGCGATACCAGATATTTTGTATGGTGATTACCTTTATGTCAGCTACAGCTGCGATACCAGATATTTTGTATGATGATTACCTTTATGTCAACTACAGCTGCGATACCAGATATTTTGTATGGTGATTACCTTTATGTCAGCTACAGCTGCGATACCAGATATTTTGTATGGTGATTACCTTTATGTCAGCTACAGCTGCGATACCAGATATTTTGTATGGTGATTACCTTTATGTCAGCTACAGTTGCGATACAAGATATTTTGTATGGTGATTACCTTTATGTCAGCTACAGCTGCGATACCAGATATTTTGTATGGTGATTACCTTTATGTCAGCTACAGCTGCGATACCAGATATTTTGTATGGTGATTACCTTTATGTCAGCTACAGCTGCGATACCAGATATTTTGTATGGTGATTACCTTTATGTCAGCTACAGTTGCGATACAAGATATATTTGTTATTAAAACTATGACCCTCAATATATTTTTTTGAACATCATGGCAGAATTTGTTTTTCAAAAGTCTGAAGCATATTTTTTTTATCTAGAATCTCCTTGGACAATCAATCTTTTAGGCAACATCTGTGTAATGTAGATATGTTCTGTGTGATGTAGATGTGTTCTGTGTGATGTACATGTGTCCTGTGTTCTGTAGATGTGTTCTGTGTGATGTAGATGTAATCTGCGTGATGTTGATGTGTTCTGCGTGATGTTGATGTGTTCTGTGTTCTGTAGATGTGTTCTGTGTGATGTAGATGTGTTCTGTGTGATGTAGATGTGTCCTGTGTTCTGTAGATGTTTTCTGTTTGATGTACATGTGTTCTGTGTGATGAAGATGTGTCCTGTGTTCTGTAGATGTGTTCTGTTTGATGTAGATGAGTTCTGTGTGATGAAGATGTGTCCTGTGTTCTGTAGATGTGTCCTGTGTTCTGTAGATGTGTTCTGTGTGATGTAGATGTAATCTGCGTGATGTTGATGTGTTCTGTGTGATGTAGATGTGTTCTGTGTGATATAGGTGTGTTCTGTGTTCTGTAGATGTGTTCTGTGTGATGTAGATGTGTTCTGTGTGACGTAGGTGTGTTCTGTGTGATGTAGTTGTGTTCTGTGTGATAAAAGGGTGTTCTGTGTGACGTAGATGTGTTCTGTGTGATGTAGATGTGTTCTGTGTTACGTAGGTGTGTTCTGTGTGATGTAGGTGTTCTGTGTGGTGTAGGTGTCTTCTGTATGATGTAGGTTTTTTTCTGCGTGATGTAGATGTGTTCTGTGTGATATAGATGTGTTCTGTCTGATATATGTATAAAGTAGATGTGTGATGTAGATGTGTTCTGTGTGTTGTAGATGTGTTCTGTGTGTTGTAGATGTGTTCTGTGTGATGTAGGTGTGTTCTGCGTGATGGAGATGTGTTCTGTTTGATTTAGATGTGTTCTGTATTCTGTAAGTGTGTTCTGTGTGATGTAGGTGTTCTGTGTGATGTGTGTTCTGTGTGATGTAGATGTGTTCTGAGTGATGATGTGTTCTGTGTTATGTAGATGTGTTCTGTTTGATTTAGATGTGTTCTGTATTCTGTAAGTGTGTTCTGTGTGATGTAGGTGTTCTGTGTGATGTGTGTTCTGTGTTATGTAGATGTGTTCTGTGTGATGATGTGTTCTGTGTTATGTAGATGTGTTCTGTTTGATTTAGATGTGTTCTGTATTCTGTAAGTGTGTTCTGTGTGATGTAGGTGTTCTGTGTGATGTGTGTTCTGTGTTATGTAGATGTGTTCTGAGTGATGATGTGTTCTGTGTTATGTAGATGTGTTCTGTTTGATTTAGATGTGTTCTGTATTCTGTAAGTGTGTTCTGTGTGATGTAGGTGTTCTGTGTGATGTGTGTTCTGTGTTATGTAGATGTGTTCTGTGTGATGATGTGTTCTGTGTTATGTAGATGTGTTCTGTTTGATTTAGATGTGTTCTGTATTCTGTAAGTGTGTTCTGTGTGATGTAGGTGTTCTGTGTGATGTGTGTTCTGTGTTATGTAGATGTGTTCTGAGTGATGATGTGTTCTGTGTTATGTAGATGTGTTCTGTTTGATTTAGATGTGTTCTTTATTTTGGAAGTATGTTCTGTGAGATGTAGGTGTTCTGTGTGATGTGTGTTCTGTGTGATAGAGATATGTTGTATGCGAAAAAGACATGTGGTAAAATTATCGCAGTACAATCAGTACATTCCATTCTGCAAATCGTATCTGCACATGTGTTAAAAACGTAAAACTGCAGGTCAAAGGTTATCGTAAATAATTCTTAATCACTGACACAAGATGACACGAGCAATGAAACATTAAAACATATTTAAATTTTAAACGAGATTTCCAGCGTTTATAAAATCAATCCCTGTTTGTCACTGACTATGAAAAATATTACCCGCGTTGGATCAGATGGGTCATGAATAAGTGACCTTGACCCGGTTCAAGGTGACCTAGCTTAATTTGCAATGTACAGCCATTTCCATTCACGCGTGCACCAGACAGCGGGACAGACAGTATGTCTGACTCTATACAACTAACTGACTACCACGTGTCCACAGAAACAGGATTTTTGTTGGAGAAGCCTCAGGTAATATATAGCCTTACCGTTGCAAATACGTCTCGATATCATTGAATAGTAATTGCATAATTTTGTCACAGTAAGTAATGATATGTTTTAATATTCTGAGGATTCTACGAAGGGTAGTGCTGATTTATGCTCGACTCACGCTCTTGTGACTTGCGTAAATTGCCGCTGAAGCATCACGTCTTTTGGTTGCGTTCGGCGAGGTGTTTTTTAAGTGTTCCCGGACAACGCAGAACTAACATTAAGCATTAAGCTTTTGTCGCGGCTGTCTTTGCACGTCAGTTCAGTTCTCAGATATATATTTTAATCATTGAATATCATATCAATATCATGACACTGAACCCGTTTTCAGAACTTAAGAAATTTTAACTGAAGTTTATTCTAATCTTCTCCAGGAATATTTACCAGATTACTTTGAGCCATGGAACCGCCTGGCGAAGTCTATGCCAGACCTGGTAACCAGGCACATGATGCGAGAGGCCGTGAGAGAGGTGGGTCAGTTTTAATGGCGTGTCCGGGGTTGTTGTTTTGTCATAAGCTGAGTAGCTGTGTCAAATACACAGGAGGTAATCTTTGACTGATAAACTAAAACTGCCGACCGCCTCCGTGGTGTAGTGGTAGAGCGTCCGCCCGGAGTGCGGAAGGTCCGGGGTTCGATCCCCGGCCGCGTCATACCAAAAGACGTATAAAGATGGTACTTGTTGTTACCCTGTCTGGCGCTCGGCATTAAGGGGCTAAAACAAGGACTGGTCGGCTCGGAGTCAGTAAACTGTGTGTAGGGTATTCATGTTAAACTGCGGCATGGTATCTCAGTGAGCTAGCACTATAAATCGGCATCAGTGCGGACTAGTACAAGCCACACACAAACACACACACGTACATGCAGTCGCTGTATAAGTGCAATAATCTTGGATGCGACGTTAAAGACTTCACCTCACCTCACCCCCCCCCCCCCCCCCCCCCCCCACACACACACACACACACGCACCAACTGTGTTGCAAAATGAATATATGTCTTACACGGAGAATCTCTGCACTCAGCAGACGCACCTCAAAATTAACAGACCGTTTTTATTAGTTTCATCAAAATCAGTAGATGCACCAGTGTCACTGGATTGTCTGGTCTATCGCTCACTTGATTGTCTGCTTTGTTTACATTCCGCCGTCGCTTGGCAGGAGTGCTGCTGTACGGCGTCAGGCTATAAATACTTACTTTTTTATGAATGTGTGAATGGCAGAACATTCTTTCCCTTTCCGCGAACATCTTTCATCACAGATTTTCGGGGGTCCATTCATATATTGATAACAGCTGTTTTGCCTTTTATTCCCTCGTATTTCCGTTTCATATTTACAAATTATATTTTGAATAATATTGATCTACAGGACACGATATAAGGTCTCGTACTGACCATTAGGAATTTCCAAATCTTACAGTTGGAAAAAAACCGTTGGAAATAATTTTTTGACCAGCTGTTGCACGTACACTTGACAATGTTGGACTATACCAGGACGAAGTACGCAAGTAGTTCTAAAATGAGTTAAATAGACTCATGTTTCGAAGTTCAACACGACACCTAACTATAAACTGTCGGACAAAAGACAGGACATGTATACATAAAAATGTTATATTTTGCACATATTTCACCTTCCACTTAATCCGGGGTTTTAAGTCCAAAACATATTGTTTTTCATCACGGGATCTAAAAGGTGTTTGCTGATTTCTTAAAAGCTGCAGATGTTTTGTTCTGGAAAACAATTGTGTGACGTTCTGAAACAAGTGTGTGATTTCATCTCAATATAGATCCCTCATATTCAAGTTAAAAGTATCACTGTCGTTGTTTCAGATGCCCCTGTTAGATCACTCCAAGTTGGCCGGGTACCGTCAGAAGCGGTTGGCCCACCTGCAGTTGGTTCTCATAACATCCGGGTACATGTGGCAGGAGGGGGATGCAGGAGTAGTAGAGGTAGGCCACCTTTAAATTGTTGTGACTCTTATTATGTAGCCGGGACTGTCGGGTAGCCTAGTGGTTAAAGCGTTCTCTCGTCACGCCGAAGACCCGGGTTCGATTCCAGTCATGGGTAAAGTGTGTGAAGCCCATTGCTGGTGTCCCCCGCCGTGATATGTACTTGTATGTCTGGCGTCCACATGAAAGTGTTATTTTGTCATTATGACGTCGTACCTCTATGTCTAGCGTCTACATGAAAGTGTTATTCTGTCATTATGACATGGTACTTGTATGTCTAGCGTCTACATGAAAGTGTTATTTTGTCATTATGACATGGTACTTGTATGTCTAGCGACTACATGAAAGTGTTATTTTGTCATTATGACATGGTACTTGTATGTCTAGCGTCTACATGAAAGTGTTATTCTGTCATTATGACGTGGTACTTGTATGTCTAGCGTCTACATGAAAGTGTTATTTTGTCATTATGACATGGTACTTGTATGTCTAGCGTCTACATGAAAGTGTTATTCTGTCATTATGACGTGGTACTTGTATGTCTAGCGTCTACATGAAAGTGTTATTTTGTCATTATGACGTGGTACCTCTATGTCTAGCGTCTACATGAAAGTGTTATTTTGTCATTATGACATGGTACTTGTATGTCTAGCGACTACATGAAAGTGTTATTTTGTCATTATGACATGGTACTTGTATGTCTAGCGTCTACATGAAAGTGTTATTCTGTCATTATGACGTGGTACTTGTATGTCTAGCGTCTACATGAAAGTGTTATTTTGTCATTATGACATGGTACTTGTATGTCTAGCGTCTACATGAAAGTGTTATTCTGTCATTATGACGTGGTACTTGTATGTCTAGCGTCTACATGAAAGTGTTATTTTGTCATTATGACGTGGTACCTCTATGTCTAGCGTCTACATGAAAGTGTTATTCTGTCATTATGACATGGGACTTGTATGTCTAGCGTCTACATGAAAGTGTTATTCTGTCATTATGACGTGGTACTTGTATGTCTAGCGTCTACATGAAAGTGTTATTCTGTCATTATGACGTGGTACTTGTATGTCTAGCGTCTACATGAAAGTGTTATTCTGTCATTATGACGTGGTACTTGTATGTCTAGCGACTACCTGAAAGTGTTATTTTGTCATTATGACGCGGTACCTCTATGTCTAGCGACTACCTGAAAGTGTTATTTTGTCATTATGACATGGTACTTGTATGTCTAGCGACTACATGAAAGTGTTATTTTGTCATTATGACATGGTACTTGTATGTCTAGCGTCTACATGAAAGTGTTATTCTGTCATTATGACGTGGTACTTGTATGTCTAGCGTCTACATGAAAGTGTTATTCTGTCATTATGACGTGGTACTTGTATGTCTAGCGACTACCTGAAAGTGTTATTTTGTCATTATGACGCGGTACCTCTATGTCTAGCGACTACATGAAAGTGTTATTTTGTCATTATGACGTGGTACCTCTATGTCTAGCGACTACATGAAAGTGTTATTTTGTCATTATGACATGGTACTTGTATGTCTAGCGTCTACATGAAAGTGTTATTCTGTCATTATGACGTGGTACTTGTATGTCTAGCGTCTACATGAAAGTGTTATTTTGTCATTATGACATGGTACTTGTATGTCTAGCGTCTACATGAAAGTGTTATTCTGTCATTATGACGTGGTACTTGTATGTCTAGCGTCTACATGAAAGTGTTATTTTGTCATTATGACGTGGTACCTCTATGTCTAGCGTCTACATGAAAGTGTTATTCTGTCATTATGACATGGGACTTGTATGTCTAGCGTCTACATGAAAGTGTTATTCTGTCATTATGACGTGGTACTTGTATGTCTAGCGTCTACATGAAAGTGTTATTCTGTCATTATGACGTGGTACTTGTATGTCTAGCGTCTACATGAAAGTGTTATTTTGTCATTATGACGTGGTACTTGTATGTCTAGCGTCTACATGAAAGTGTTATTTTGTCATTATGACATGGTACTTGTATGTCTAGCGACTACATGAAAGTGTTATTTTGTCATTATGACGTGGTACCTCTATGTCTAGCGTCTACATGAAAGTGTTATTTTGTCATTATGACGTGGTACTTGTATGTCTAGCGTCTACATGAAAGTGTTATTTTGTCATTATGACATGGTACTTGTATGTCTAGCGACTACATGAAAGTGTTATTTTGTCATTATGACGTGGTACCTCTATGTCTAGCGTCTACATGAAAGTGTTATTCTGTCATTATGACGTGGTACTTGTATGTCTGGCGTCCACATGAAAGTGTTATTTTGTCATTATGACGTGGTATCTCTATGTCTAGCGTCTACCTGAAAGTGTTATTCTGTCATTATGACGTGGTACTTGTATGTCTAGCGTCTACATGAAAGTGTTATTTTGTCATTATGACGTGGTATCTCTATGTCTAGCGTCTACCTGAAAGTGTTATTCTGTCATTATGACGTCGTACCTCTATGTCTAGCGACTTCCTGAAAGTGTTATTTTGTCATTATGGCGTCGTACTTGTATGTCTAGCGACTACATAAAAGTGTTATTTTGTCATTATGACGTGGTACCTCTATGTCTAGCGACTACATAAAAGTGTTATTTTGTCATTATGACGTCGTACTTGTATGTCTAGCGACTACATAAAAGTGTTATTTTGTCATTATGACGTGGTACTTGTATGTCTGGCGTCCACATAAAAGTGTTATTTTGTCATTATGACGTGGTACTTGTATGTCTAGCGTCTACATAAAAGTGTTATTTTGTCATTATGACATGGTACTTGTATGTCTAGCGTCTACCTGAAAGTGTTATTTTGTCATTATGACGTGGTACTTGTATGTCTAGCGACTACCTGAAAGTGTTATTTTGTCATTATGACGCGGTACCTCTATGTCTAGCGTCTACCTGAAAGTGTTATTCTGTCATTATGACGTGGTACTTGTATGTCTGGCGTCCACATGAAAGTGTTATTTTGTCATTATGACGCGGTACCTCTATGTCTAGCGTCTACCTGAAAGTGTTATTCTGTCATTATGACGTGGTACTTGTATGTCTGGCGTCCACATGAAAGTGTTATTTTGTCATTATGACATGGTACTTGTATGTCTAGCGACTACCTGAAAGTGTTATTTTGTCATTATGACGCGGTACCTCTATGTCTAGCGTCTACCTGAAAGTGTTATTCTGTCATTATGACGTCGTACCTCTATGTCTAGCGACTTCCTGAAAGTGTTATTTTGTCATTATGACGTCGTACTTGTATGTCTAGCGACTACATGAAAGTGTTATTCTGTCATTATGACGTGGCACCTCTATGTCTAGCGTCTACATGAAAGTGTTATTCTGTCATTATGACATGGTACTTGTATGTCTAGCGACTACCTGAAAGTGTTATTTTGTCATTATGACGCGGTACCTCTATGTCTAGCGTCTACCTGAAAGTGTTATTTTGTCATTATGACGTCGTACCTCTATGTCTAGCGACTTCCTGAAAGTGTTATTTTGTCATTATGACGTCGTACTTGTATGTCTAGCGACTACATGAAAGTGTTATTCTGTCATTATGACGTGGTACTTGTATGTCTAGCGTCTACATGAAAGTGTTATTCTGTCATTATGACATGGTACTTGTATGTCTAGCGACTACATGAAAGTGTTATTCTGTCATTATGACATGGTACTTGTATGTCTAGCGTCTACATGAAAGTGTTATTCTGTCATTATGACGTGGTACCTCTATGTCTAGCGACTACATAAAAGTGTTATTTTGTCATTATGACGTGGTACCTCTATGTCTAGCGACTACATAAAAGTGTTATTTTGTCATTATGACGTCGTACTTGTATGTCTAGCGACTACATAAAAGTGTTATTTTGTCATTATGACGTGGTACTTGTATGTCTGGCGTCCACATAAAAGTGTTATTTTGTCATTATGACGTGGTACTTGTATGTCTAGCGTCTACATAAAAGTGTTATTTTGTCATTATGACATGGTACTTGTATGTCTAGCGTCTACCTGAAAGTGTTATTTTGTCATTATGACGTGGTACTTGTATGTCTAGCGACTACCTGAAAGTGTTATTTTGTCATTATGACGCGGTACCTCTATGTCTAGCGTCTACCTGAAAGTGTTATTCTGTCATTATGACGTGGTACTTGTATGTCTGGCGTCCACATGAAAGTGTTATTTTGTCATTATGACGCGGTACCTCTATGTCTAGCGTCTACCTGAAAGTGTTATTCTGTCATTATGACGTGGTACTTGTATGTCTGGCGTCCACATGAAAGTGTTATTTTGTCATTATGACATGGTACTTGTATGTCTAGCGACTACCTGAAAGTGTTATTTTGTCATTATGACGCGGTACCTCTATGTCTAGCGTCTACCTGAAAGTGTTATTCTGTCATTATGACGTCGTACCTCTATGTCTAGCGACTTCCTGAAAGTGTTATTTTGTCATTATGACGTCGTACTTGTATGTCTAGCGACTACATGAAAGTGTTATTCTGTCATTATGACGTGGCACCTCTATGTCTAGCGTCTACATGAAAGTGTTATTCTGTCATTATGACATGGTACTTGTATGTCTAGCGACTACCTGAAAGTGTTATTTTGTCATTATGACGCGGTACCTCTATGTCTAGCGTCTACCTGAAAGTGTTATTTTGTCATTATGACGTCGTACCTCTATGTCTAGCGACTTCCTGAAAGTGTTATTTTGTCATTATGACGTCGTACTTGTATGTCTAGCGACTACATGAAAGTGTTATTCTGTCATTATGACGTGGTACTTGTATGTCTAGCGTCTACATGAAAGTGTTATTCTGTCATTATGACATGGTACTTGTATGTCTAGCGACTACATGAAAGTGTTATTCTGTCATTATGACATGGTACTTGTATGTCTAGCGTCTACATGAAAGTGTTATTCTGTCATTATGACGTGGTACCTCTATGTCTAGCGTCTACATGAAAGTGTTATTCTGTCATTATGACGTGGTACTTGTATGTCTAGCGTCTACCTGAAAGTGTTATTTTGTCATTATGACGTGGTACCTCTATGTCTAGCGTCTACCTGAAAGTGTTATTTTGTCATTATGACGTGGCACCTTTATGTCTAGCGTCTACATGAAAGTGTTATTCTGTCATTATGACATGGGACTTGTATGTCTAGCGTCTACATGAAAGTGTTATTTTGTCATTATGACGTGGTACCTCTATGTCTAGCGTCTACCTGAAAGTGTTATTTTGTCATTATGACGTGGCACCTCTATGTCTAGCGTCTACATGAAAGTGTTATTCTGTCATTATGACATGGGACTTGTATGTCTAGCGTCTACATGAAAGTGTTATTTTGTCATTATGACGTGGTACCTCTATGTCTAGCGACTTCCTGAAAGTGTTATTTTGTCATTATGACGTCGTACCTCTATGTCTAGCGACTACCTGAAAGTGTTATTTTGTCATTATGACGTGGTACCTCTATGTCTAGCGTCTACATGAAAGTGTTATTATTTCATTATGACGTGGTACTTGTATGTCTAGCGTCTACATGAAAGTGTTATTTTGTCATTATGACGTGGTACCTCTATGTCTAGCGTCTACATGAAAGTGTTATTATTTCATTATGACGTGGTACTTGTATGTCTAGCGTCTACATGAAAGTGTTATTTTGTCATAATGACGTGGTATCTCTATGTCTAGCGACTTCCTGAAAGTGTTATTTTGTCAATATGACGTCGTACCTCTATGTCTAGCGACTACATGAAAGTGTTATTCTGTCATTATGACATGGTACTTGTATGTCTAGCGTCTACATGAAAGTGTTTTTTTGTCATTATGACGCGGTACCTCTATGTCTAGCGTCTACCTGAAAGTGTTATTTTGTCAATATGACGTCGTACCTCTATGTCTAGCGACTACATGAAAGTGTTATTCTGTCATTATGACATGGTACTTGTATGTCTAGCGTCTACATGAAAGTGTTTTTTTGTCATTATGACGCGGTACCTCTATGTCTAGCGACTACCTGAAAGTGTTATTTTGTCATTATGACGTCGTACCTCTATGTCTAGCGACTACATGAAAGTGTTATTCTGTCATTATGACGTGGTACTTGTATGTCTAGCGTCTACATGAAAGTGTTATTTTGTCATTATGACGTGGTACCTCTATGTCTAGCGTCTACCTGAATGTGTTGCGGTACCACTGTGGCATGTTTCCAACACCCTGGGTCTGAAGCCGGTCATCAGCCACCCTGATGTGTGTCTGGCTAACTGGAAGTATACTTATGACAAAGGGTGAGTATGAAGACGAAGGCCAGAAGCTTTTATTAGGTCAACGACCAAAATAGTACATCAACAATATTATAACAGTCAATCAATCTTTATTCAAGTACTAGTACTTAAGAGGCCCCAGGCCTATAGTACATGTGACAGAGATGTTGCGCACAATTTTATCTATTATTTACAGATTTGGTTCTATATTACAGTGCGTGAAATATGTACATGGCTAAGTTTTGCATTATTAATTTATCTAGACTGTTTAACAATTTCACAATATTTGGATCGTTAAAGTATCATAAAGGAATATATTTTTTTCTCACAGTGGAGTACAATGGACATACAAGTAAAAAGTGATATTCATCCTCTATATCTTGGCTATTACATATTTTACATAATCGTTCTGAACTTGGAGCCTTTGTGTATCTCCCACTCTCGATGCATAAATCATGGAATGAACATCGAAATCTTGCCAATGAATTGCGGTATTTCTTTATATTTTATTCGATAATGTCAACGAAAATGACCACGATTGCAGATAAATATCTTTTAACCTCTGTAGGAAAGAATTGGTAAATACACTTTCAGATTGTACAACTTGATCATACCAAACATTTCCCAAACCGCTATTGAATAACATTTTTTTCACATCAGTTACCCAATTAGTCTTTCCATTCGTAACGTATAACATCATCATATTGTAACATAAGGGTATATCGATGAATTCATTTTAAGCAGTTTCAGCCAGTACTTTATGACTTTCAGCTGTGAATATATGAAGAGGTGAGGTGAGGTGAAATGGTGTTTAACGTCGTGTCCAAGATTATTGCATTTATATAGCGACGTGCATGTACGTGTGTGTGTTTGTGTGGCTGCTTGTACTAGACCGGACTGATGCCGATTTATAGTGCTAGCTCACTGAGATACCATGCCGCAGTTTAACATGAATACCCCACTCAGACACAGTATACTGACTCCGAGCCGACCAGTCCTTGTTTTAGCCCCTTAATGCCGAGCGCCAGACAGGGTAACAACAAGTACCATCTTTATACGTCTTTTGGTATGACGCGGCCGGGTATCGAATCCCGGACCTTCCGCTCTCCGGGCGGACGCTCTACCACTAAACCACGGAGGTGGTCGGAATATATGAATAGAGGAAATCTACCACATTCTCCATAAACCATTGCGCTAGATGTGTTGGGTTTTACAGCGAGAAATCTTTAACATGCAAATAAGTGGACCTTTTCGATATTATGACATTGTTTTAATCCCCATATTTCAGCACCGTAAAGAAGGATTGGGTTAATTTTAACATCAAAGATCTTAAAGAATGACTTGTAACTTATATCACCAAGGATATGTATATTCTTATTATACCAAATAAAACCTTTTTGGCTTGAACTGATGCTTGAACCAATTTAGACTGTTACTGAAATAACAATTTCCAATGTCCCACAAACTGTTTTGAAATATAGTGATGCCATTTTTACAATCAACAGATAAAATGTTATACCAGCTCGATCCCTCAGGATGAATATATACACATGCACCGGTATATTTGTGTTGGCTGCAGGGAGATCGAGGTTCTGTACGCACTTCCTGGAGGATCAAGCAGCAACTGGTTCTTCAAGGTTACCTGCTTCGTAGAGTTGGCCTTCGCCAAAAATTTACCGGTAAGTCTGAGACTGTAGTATTATTATACCCCGCCACGAAGTGGAAGGGGATATAGGAATGTATCCTGTCCGTCCGACCGTCCGTCACTTTTCGTTTCCGGAGCAGAACTCAAAAACCATGAGAGATATCTTAACCAAACTTAGCACATAGATAGGTCTAGCGGTTAACTGGTGCCTTTTGACAGTTTGAAATTTTTGACAAAATTACATTTCGAGTTTCCATGGCAACGAGTTTGACCGGACATGTCATATTGGCGGGGGATATGATTATTTCATGTTTGTTATTTTCTGTGAAGATGAGGCCATCGATTATTGGAATTACTCATCAAACAAACCAGAGGGGATAAGGTCACTTAGTGACTGACCATTGGATAACCAAGAGAGCCTTGGATATGTTTGTAAAAAATATTGCGTTCCAGTAAATAACGAAACAATTAGTTTACCTCAGCTTTCACCAAAGTAAATATTGTTCGTTGTAACATCCCTCAGTTTCTTCATCACCCATCTACACATTGGGCCGATTTGAGGTGTAGCGACTATTTGTAACCAACGAATTAAGACACGGCAGGGCCCCGTTCCACAAAGCGATCTTAGCCCTACGACTACCGTAGGCCTGTGTTAAAGTATGGGAGTTACGATCATCTTAGCGCTAAGATCGCTTTGTGGAACAGGGCCCTGGTTCCAACATGAGAGAAAACAGCCGTTGTTCTGACCAATGAGCGCTCAGATTACATCAAAGAAACGGTAATATTTCTCGAGTAGGCTTATCGTCATCTTCTCTGCACATTGATTCAGGAAACAGCAGAGTTCGTACAACATTCATACTCGGAGTTGAGGTCATTTGTTTCCTCGAGCAAAAGGGCCTCATTTCATGACTTACAATATGTATGTGCAATTTTCTTTAACCAATACTAGATGAACGAAATTACTCAAATGTCTTGACGTCCGTGAACTCTCTCCATTATGCGTATCACTTCTAAATGCCTTTCAAAGACTTGATACATGACCCTGCATATCGGCCGTATGTGTTCATGGGTGGTGGAGGAATGTGATGTATATAAAGTACTGACGATGGTCGTTTCACAGGATTGTATTTCCACGGAGCCATTACGTCTGTTACAGTCAGTCCAGAATGTACTAGATGGCGTCGTGGCAGATGACAATGTCAAGGTCACATCCGGGCTAGCAGGTCTGACGACTATGGTCGGGAACATGCAGTCTGCCTTGTGTAGGATGCATGGTAACCGTTTCTCCTCCTTCATCAACCCAAGGCTTGTAATAATACACTGTATCGTATGGAATCCTAGAAGGAACATTGTCGTATAGGCACGTTGGGGCACTTCCAAAAACAAGCGAAACGTGTCAAAATTAACCAAAGCGCGACATTACGACAAATGGTCAAACTGTCGCGTTGTCGCATTTTGGTTAATTTTGGCACCTTTTGCTTGTTATTTGAAGGGCGACAGAGCGAAAATGTCCCTCCTAGGATTCCAAGATCTCGCGATTCAGTATTAGTCTCGCTAAACAGCAACACGCAAGCCTATTTGGAAATCAAATGTAAAACTTTTAAAAAAAATAAGAGTTGGATGTTGGATGTTCAAACACGCATTTGGACAATATTTGATTCTGATCAATTTGAGGTTTCAAATTACAATAACCACCTTTGCGAGTTCTGTTACAAATTCCATTTAGCTCGGTTACATTTACAGGGAATCTTGCTCTGCGTTAAAAACACTGTCAGTTTATCTCCAAGATTCGTTATTATAGATGTATGCAAATATAACTCCAAAAGTTTAAGGGTTACAAAGAAACGAATTTTATAATGGCGTTTGAAAGGTATTCCAGCAAAGTTCAACATTCAAACCATCAAACATCCAACTTCGGACCTTTCCAAAGGTGAGGTGAGGTGAAATTGGGTTTAACGTCGCGTCCAAGATTATTGCACTGATATAGCGACGTGCATTTACGCGTGTGTGTGTGTGTGTGTGTGTGTGTGTGTGTGTGTGTGTGTGTCTGCTTGTACTAGTCCGGACTGATGCTGATTTATAATGCTAGCTCACTGAGATACCATGCCGCAGTTAAACATGAATACCCCACTCAGACACAGTATACTGACTCCGAGCCGACCAGTCCTTGCATTAGAGCGGACGCTCTACCACAAGACCACGGAGGCGGTCTCCTTTCCAAAGTATAAGGAGTTACCTTGATGAGTATACACGTGATTTCCACGTTGAAACGCAGAGGTAACCCGAGACATGTGTACGAAATGTGTAAATTGTGGAATCAGAAAGACATTATGTATTTAAACACACAGTTTTAGGTTTACAATAAAATTGAAATACAACGGGTAAAACAAGTGACATCAATAAGAAAAGAGGGCCTAGAATTAAACTTAGTGCACTCACGCATGCTCAGAATTCGTCACTGCTGACTGACTTGAACGAGGCCAGTCTCAGTTTTTGAAACTAGAATAGAATCGGAAGCTGGAAGGGTTTGGGTATAAGAATTGCTCCTGGGAAGTAAGTTAGAAACAAATCATGTCGAAAATACCATTTATTTCTCTCTTGTCGCTGTTAGGTACAATTTTGGAAAACCTTCCTCATCAGAAACGTCTTGAACGACCAAGCATGCCTTTTTCATGTACACAAGGGCAGATAACTCTCGTTCTAGCACAAAACCATTCTGGAAAGTTCCCCTCTCTATTGTTGACTGCTGTTCAAAAACAGCCACAACAGCCCTTAGTATTTGTCACCAGTAGTTTAATGATTTACTGCCACTAACGTTTACTACAAATATATTTACAACAGTTTCTGTCCCCATTAACATTATTTACACGCAACAATGTCAAGTATTACATTTCATTAATTATTTTCAGAACATTTATCAGCTGATACATTCTACAACACAGTGCGGCCATATCTTGGAGGGTATGTGTACTGGTAATGTTGACGTCATTGAGTGAGTGAGTGTGTTGGGTTTAATGTCGCTTTCAGCGGCCTGTCAGCTATATCACGGCGTGCCAGGTTAATTCGGGAGGAAAGCCCGAAATGATGTAGGTCAAAGATGGTTACCACGTTGGTAAAACCATGGGTATGGGAATGGTGCTAACTAACCAAGAATTATATAAAGGACGAATCTGGGTTCAAATCCACATTCTCATGGTTTGAGGAGACAGATTGTATTGTTTAGAATGCCGCTGGCCCCTATTTTATGGTCTGGGGTCGCCCCAATCTAGGTCGGGATATGGTAAGCGGTGTGTGTGCCACACAGGTATTGTCTGTGTATGTAGGGTAATCGTTAAAGAAACACATGGCACAGCTTGGATTAAGCTGCTCAAACACCATCGTGTGTGCTAATCAAGATTTTTATGTATACGAGTCTAGCGGATAAGGATAATGAGTCCATTTCCATGGCACCAAATTAACGCCAGTATGCCTATAGCGCTAAACGGATCAGTGCACTCTGAATTCATTCTCAGCTCCATGGGGAGTACACAGTCTAAGCTGCCTATGGGGGGCTAGAAGGTGAACAGTCACCATGTCATCCTACCGGGTACCCACTTTCTGCTGGGTGAACGGATGCATATTTCAAACAAAGTCACTTGCCTTAGGAAATGTGCTTCAGTGTGGAGCAGCAACGAAACACTAGAAACTATCAGGAGTCAAGCTTGCCGAACACGGTCACCCATCCACCTACTCTCCGCAACCAACGTTTTTAACTTTGCCCGATTTGTGACGTGAGCAATACACAGGTCACCCAGTTGATGATTACCCGTATGTTTATTTGATTGTTGTTGTTTTTGTTGTTGTTTAACGCAGCACTTAGCAATATTTCAGTTACATGACGTTGGTCTGTAAAATAAATAATCGTGTCTGGACCAAACTATCCAGTGATCGATATTGTTAGCAACGATCCAAAAGTTGACGCATAAACTTCCAAGTCACCGAGACTGACCATCCGATCCATTTGGTCACCTCTTACAACCAGCATAGGATGCTGGGGATGAATTCTAACCTATGTCTCACTATTTACAAGGTCTCAACATAGACTGACAATCGGCCCCACACCCCATTGAGAGTAAGATTAACTTACATCGAAACACAAGAATAATTTTTGGAAAGATTTGACTAAAATTTCCCAGCCCTGCGAGATGGTCTAGTTTTGAATTAAGAAATAAACGACTCTTGGTCGTTGTTTATCGTACAATTAAACACCGCAGGGAGAATAAACCATGAGTCGTTTATTTCTTATATAAAGATGATGATAAAATGTACAAGCTTTAAAAATATTTACCCGTATTTTAATAATGATGTCTCCTACAATAGAATCCGACCTCGGCAATGTCGGACAAGTCCATTTTATGCATAGGTGGGTATTTCCCGCATATTCTCACAATCCTCTCGTCGATTACCTGTACCTTTTCTCCTAATGCCGATTATCATAATTATATTTATCCCTATTTTTTGGATGCGATCGTTCCGACACTCCCCTCTCAAAATATCGTCCAATATACGACGTCATCAAGTTGGGAGTGCATGTTCGAATCTAAAGAAATGACGTCATGATAGAACAATGTCTTATCGTGAAATAAACCACCCTTCGTTCTTTTTAGCCCTTTGCGATTTATCGCGTCGTCGTTTTATTATGTCGTGTAATGATGTATACATACAATGTACTTGTACACCATTAGGTTGTATATCATAAGTTGTATTGATGTATACATACAATGTACTTGTACATCATAAGATTGTATATCATAAGTTGTATTGATGTATACATACAATGTACTTGTACACCATAAGGTTGTATATCATGCTGTATTGATGTATACATACAATGTACTTGTACATCATAAGGTTGTATATCATGCTGTATTGATGTATACATACAATGTACTTGTACATCATAAGGTTGTATATCATGCTGTATTGATGTATACATACAATGTACTTGTACATCATAAGGTTGTATATCATGCTGTATTGATGTATACATACAATGTACTTGTACATCATAAGATTGTATATCATAAGTTGTATTGATGTATACATACAATGTACTTGTACACCATAAGGTTGTATATCATGCTGTATTGATGTATACATACAATGTACTTGTACACCATTAGGTTGTATATCATGTTGTATTGATGTATACATACAATGTACTTGTACACCATTAGGTTGTATATCATAAGTTGTATTGATGTATACATACAATGTACTTGTACACCATAAGATTGTATATCATGTTGTATTGATGTATACATGCAATGTATTTGTACACTATAAGGATGTATATCATAGGTTGTATTTGCAGATGGGGTGGATCGTCCAGCCCTCTCCCCGATGGGATTATTTATGAAGGTATATCAGAGGAGCCAGTTCAGGCAAGTAGCTGATCAGATCTTTAAATATATTCAGAGAGGAGACGTATTTAACAAGGGTATGTTATGTACAAGTATAGCCGTTGTCGTTGTCACTGCAAGTCCAACTGAGACTAGAAGATGAGATGATAAGATGAGAGATGAAATGATGGGATGAGATGCATCAAGTGAGTGAGTATGGTTTTACGCCGCTTTTAGCAATATTCCAGCAATATCACGGCGGGGGACACCAGAAATGGGCTTCACACATTGTACCCATGTCGGGAATCGAACCCGGGTCTTCGGCGTGACGAGCGAACGCTTTAACCACTAGGCTACCCGACCGCCCCGAGATGCATCAAGATGAGAAGAGGAAATGGGATGAGACGAGATGAGATTAAATTGAGATGAGATGAGTCTTGCTGGTGTTTTTGCGGGTTCTGTTGATGACGAATCACTAAGATGAATCATTTTTACTGACAGGTTATTGGTGGGAGTGCAGCTCAGAGCACAACGCTTCAGCTCATTGACGTTCTCCTCGGAGTCATACATAAGCCGGGTAAGTGGTGTCTCACTCTGCCATCTATGTGTGGCACTCATCAGGACGCACACTCCCAAGGTACGTTGTGTTTAACCATGCATAAATTTGTGTGGCACTCATCGGGACACATATTCCCAAGGTACATTGTGCTTAACCATTCATCAATTTGTGTGGCACTCATCAGCACACATATTCTCCTGGTACGTTGTGCTAAAACAGGCATCGAAGTGTGTGGCTCTCATCGGGACACACATTCCCCAGGTACCTTGTGCTTAATCATGCATCAATTTGTGTGGCAATCACTGGGACGCACATTCCCCAGGTACGTTGTGCTTAACCATGCATCAATTTGTGTGCCACTCATCGGGACACATATTCCCCAGGTACGTTGTGCTTAACCATCATCAATTTGTGTGGCACTCATCGGGACACATATTCTCCAGGTACGTTGTACTTAACATGCATCAATTTGTGTGGCAATCATTGGGACGCACATTCCCCAGGTACGTTGTGCTTAACCATTCATCAATTTGTGTGGCACTCATCGGGACACACATTCCTCAGGTACGTTGTGCTTAACCATTCATCAATTTGTGTGGCACTCATCAGGACACATATTCCCCAGGTACATTGTGCTTAACCATTCATCAATTTGTGTGGCAATCACTGGGACGCACATCCCCCAGATACGTTGTGCTTAACCATGCATCAAATTGTGTGGCACTGACCAGGATGCACATTCACCCACTGACTTGTGACATTCATCAGTTAGTCAAGTTATAAGGTGTTCGTTCCTTAGCAACCTGTAACATCTGTGTACGTTGTTGCTATTCATCATCTGAATGTTCCAGACAAACAGGCCTTCCTGGATGAGATGAGGGACTACATGCCTCCCGCCCACAAACAGCTGGTCCTTGATGTGATGGAAATGCCACGGAAATTGCCTTCTATGGGTAAGTTAGTTTGCAATATTGTTTATTGTTTATTCCACAATTGCACACAGTCGAGAACCCGTGTTTCTACATGCACAATTATGATCATAATTAGTTACGACCCAAAGCCACCTGTCTGACTTTTGTAGATGACGAGAGTAGGAGTAGTAGTAGTAATAGACGACAACGACGACGACGACGTAGTAGTAGTAGTGAGTGAATATGGGTATACGCCGCTTTTAGCAATATTCAATATACATAATCACCCAGTTGGGGAATCAAACCCGGGTCTTCGGCGTGACGAGTGAACGCTTTAACCACTAGGCTATCCTACCGCCCCAGTAGTAGTAGTAGTAGTAGTAGTAGTAGTAGTAGTAGTAGTAGTAGTAGTAGTAGTAGTAGTAGTAGTAGTAGTAGTAGTAGTGAGTGAGTGAGTATGGTTTTACGCCGCTTTTAGCAATATTCCAGCAATATCACGGCGGGGGACACCAGAAATGGGCTTCACACAATGTAGTAGTAGTAGTAGCAGTAGTAGTAGTAGTAGTAGTAGTAGTAGTAGTAGTAGTAGTAGTAGTAGTAGTAGTAGTAGAAGTAGTAGTAGTAGTACGATATTACAATAGAATATATACTGAATAGAAATCATTGGTAAATAGCACTGATGGATTGGTCTGATAGGATGGTCATAAGTTAACTGGCAGTCTTTTCAAGCCATTCAAGCATTATAATTGTGACGTCAAAATGTTTGCCTCATTATGCGCTAACAGCAACACTATCTTCATCTATATAACATGCGGTAGAACTATCATTCAATCTTAAACATTCTTAATTTTAAATTGAGAAAAAAGACAACTTAATCAGCATCACAACTGAAGATGCCATGAGCGTGTAGGAACATACGTTTTGTTCTTGGTGTGTTATCCAGGTAAATGTATAAAACATACATTGTTTGACCATTACAGTGGCAGATTCAGGAGACACAGATCTGACAAAAGCTTACAACAAGTGTCTGACAGCTGTCACCCAGTTCCGCAGTTACCACATACAGGTCGTAACAAAGTAGGTATATAACCAGTTATCACATACAGGTCGTAACAAAGAAGGTATATAACCAGTTATCACATACTTGTCGTAACAAAGTAGGTATATGATGTGTTATCACATACAGGTCATAGCAAAGTAGGTATATGATGTGTTATCACATAGAGGTAGTAACAACGTAGGTAGATCACATGTTATCACATACAGGTCGTAACAAAGTAGGTATATGATGTGTTATCACATAGAGGTAGTAACAACGTAGGTAGATCACATGTTATCACACACAGGTCGTAACAACGTAGATATAGCATGAGCTGGTAGGTGGTGAGCTATCACAGTGTTTAAGGCTTGGTACATGAGCAGTGCATGTGACTGAACTCTGTGTATTGTACTACCACGAACAGACAGGTATTGATTGTCGTCTTACATGCATCTTAACTGCAGGTATATCGTGTCAGCTTCCAAGAGAACGAGTGATGAGAACAACTACCAGAGTCTTGCTGACAAGGGCACCGGTGGATCAGGTGAGATCATAACCCTACATAGTTTACGCCCTGAACAAGAACAGCAACAACAATAATGATAACACCAGACAAAACACATCGTGGACATACACTTTTGGTAGCTGTTCTATATATCTGATATACTCTGGGTGGTCAACCTAGTGGTCAACGAGGCGGCAACAAACCCGCTTTACTCACTCACTCACTCACTATCCTAATTACTCACTCACTATCCTAATTACTCTCTCACTCACTCACTATCCTAATTACTCACTCACTCGCTATCCTAATTACTCACTCACTCACCCACTTCACTCACACACTCACTCACTCACTCACTCGACCTCACACAGGAGTCCCAGAGAACGTTGATAATTTCTATTCATGATAACTTTGCGATAGTACTTAAACCTTAAACAATGCAACAGCTATTTTCCCATGATTATCAATTCGCCAAATCCACTGTCCACGGATATATGTAAAAAAGAAATATTTGTAAAAATATAGGTGGATAGTAAGCCTTCCTCTGACTGATTCTGTGACACAGGACATAAGTGCATGTACGTATGAGTCGATTCAGTGACACAGGACATATATACTTATATGTAGGAACCGATTCAGTGACACAGGACATATATACATGTACGTATGAACCGATTCAGTGACACAGGACATATATACATGTACGTATGAACCGATTCAGTGACACAGGACATATATACATGTACGTGTGAACCGATTCAGTGACACAGGACATATATACATGTACGTATGAACCGATTTAGTGACATCAGGACATATATACATGTACGTATGAACCGATTCAGTGACACAGGACATATATACATGTACGTATGAACCGATTCAGTGACACAGGACATATATACATGTACGTATGAACCGATTCAGTGACACAGGACATATATACATGTACGTATGAACCGATTTAGTGACATCAGGGCATATATACATGTACGTATGAACCGATTCAGGGACACAGGACATATATACATGTACGTATGAACCGATTCAGTGACACAGGACATATATACATGTACGTATGAACCGATTCAGTGACACAGGACATATATACATGTACGTATGAACCGATTCAGTGATACAGGACATATATACATGTATGTATGAACCGATTTAGTGACATCAGGGCATATATACATGTACGTATGAACCGATTCAGGGACACAGGACATATATACATGTACGTATGAACCGATTCAGTGACACAGGACATATATACATGTACGTATGAACCGATTCAGTGACACAGGACATATATACATGTACGTATGAACCGATTCAGTGATACAGGACATATATACATGTATGTATGAACCGATTTAGTGACATCAGGACATATATACATGTACGTATGAACCGATTCAGTGACACAGGACATATATACATGTACGTATGAACCGATTCAGTGATACAGGACATATATACATGTATGTATGAACCGATTTAGTGACATCAGGACATATATACATGTACGTATGAACCGATTCAGTGACACAGGACATATATACATGTACGTATGAACCGATTTAGTGACATCAGGACATATATATACGTATGTATGAAGAATGTTTTTTTCTGCTCGCGAACCAATATGACTCTTTTCAGATCTTCTGCCTTTCCTGAAGGCCCTGAGAGACGACACTAAGAGGAAAAGAACCAATAGCGACAGCAGTATGACAGCAGAGTTCCAACAGTGATAGTCAATCTTCCCGAGGCATGGGCATAAACTGACTATATAAGTCCAGTTTCCACCCATGCCGAACTTGGCTGGAATTTCTTAGCTCTATCATAGCGGCTGTTACGAGTTATGTCCCTTTAATGCCCTTCCTATTGGCCAATCAGATTCCACCTCTCACATCACTTGCATTTGCTTCAAACAAAATGGCAGCGCCCAGTCAACACGATCTGATCGATAATCAAGATCTATATTATAATATAACGAGTGTTACCTCGCGAAGTGCATCAGATCACTTAGCACCTTGATTTAAAACATGAAAAGATTTGGAAAATATCCGTCGATGCTGAGTTGACGGTACACACACTTTGCAAATCCTGCAGTCGACCGTAATCTGCACGTTGAAATCCATATTTACGAACCGGATGTCTAGTTCGTTACGCGATTTTGATTGGACTATACATAAGCTCGTTAGTCCAGCTAAACTGTTACTCCGGAATTCCAGCCTAGTTCGGCAAGGGTGGAAACTGGACTTATATAGTCAGGAAACTCCCTGTCCTCGGGAAGATGGTGATAGTCAATCTCATTTTAATCAGAAGATACGATACCTCTCTGTGTTAAGATTTGAAGACACCCTATAGAAGGTAGCAACAGGTAAACCCTTATAAAACTTTGACCTCCCAAACAAAATAAAGGCTGCGTTGGTTCTTTCGCCAAGCAGACGTCATCTGTCTGTCCGTCCGATTTCTCTCTTAATTACCTGCCACATAACACAAATATACCCCCAACAGTCTCACGACCGCCTGCGTGGTCTAGTGGTAGAGCGTCCGCATTCTGAACTAATCGATTATATTCTTTTTCGAGATGCAGTATAATATATGCTTCTCTGAATACTTCTCTCACATGTACAGAGAATTTAGAAGCCACGATGCTGAGTCAAGCGATGGCTATTCGAAAGTAATTCATACAAATATTGCCCGGTACAAATGCATCATTACGTTATTTAATGCAGGTATAAATGCTACTCAGTGTATGCGATTTGTGATAATAAAAGAGACAAAGACATACCATATTCATAAGAAATCTCAACTAAAAGCAGGGTCCACTGCACGATTTCGACCATATCATAAGCATGAGTTCATGAATCACTATCAAATGAGGATGATATCAGGTGTTCGTGAAATGGTTTAGCGTGTGCTGCCCACGGTTGGCATCCGTCACAAACACATGCAAAGGCAAGTCAATTGTTCACCTGAAAATCATACACAGCCATAAGATGCCCATCAATTTCAACTCAGGTTCATGACGCTAAATGACATGGATTGGCAGCCATATTTGCTTTAATTTTTTCCAGGCTCGTCTTGAAGTGGAAACTTTTGATTAAAGATTCTACAACACTGAGCCATGTTTTCCGAAACAGGAAATGATAAATAAATAATCATTTTGGCGATATGTTATCACTGCAAGTCAATTTTAATCAAACAATTATTTCGGCTATATTTGACCAAAAAAATGACCTACAGTGATAGGATTTCCTCGAACATTAAGTTGTATACTCCTATAAATAGAAATGTCTTGCGTCATCACTGCTTACTACTGTACGTATGTTTATTATGTTTATTATTATGTTTATATGTCTGAATGCTCTTGTGAAGGTATTTATACCATGATGTGTAAGTTGCCGTTTATTGCATAATAAACAAATACAAATATTTATGAATGTTTTCTTTTACAAATACAATTGATATGAATATTCTTGTAAGAAACAGCTGAAACAGAGTCCATACTACGATTCCAAGTATATCATAATCATGTACAGTAAAGTACGGTTATAACGAACTCAAAGGGACTACTAATTTTAGTTCGTTATAACCGTAGTTCGTTATAAGCATATATACAGCATAACTACAGCAAATAGTCGGGACCAAAAAAGTAAGTTCGTTATATCCGTCAGTTCATTATAAGCGTGTTCGTTATAACCGTAGGTAACTGTATTTTTTAATCTCTATGAAATGGTGCAAAGGAAAGCGTATCCCGCCCCACTTGTGGCACACGGTGTCAAAATGCAAGTCAAATCATCACCTGAACATACACGGAACATGTAGTGCAAGTGAAAATAGGGAATTGTATCAAGTCTTCGACATACTTAACATGATCTCTAATATGCAACGGGGGCACGGGTGGCCCAGTCGTCTAAGGCGCCGCGATTCGCTGTGCAGAGTTGCGTCCCTTGGGCACGCCAGAAACCTAGATTGTGGGTTCGAATTCCGGTTCGCCCCGATTATGTTTCTAGGTTTGTCAGCACCATACCCGTGCTCCTGGGTTTCACCGAAGTGGTAAACGTCTGAGAACTGCATCACTTCGGGCTTTCCTCCCACATTATGGAATACAGTTAAAAGCGGCGTTAAACCCAACTCACTCACTCACTCACTCACTCTAATATGCAACACCTCCTGCACTAAGCGCAGATGTATTGTGAGTCACAATGTGGATGGATGAAGACTCGTTACTCCATATCTCCACATGTGACACAAAGTGCCAAAATTCGCAAAGATAGATAACGAAACCACTCAGAAACCATCGGTTAGAACACATAAAAATTTACTATGAAAAACTATGATGAGGCTACAAAAAGTTGAGTGGGGCACAGGTTTACAGAGTTACGTCCCTTAGGTGTGACAGGACCGCCTTCATGGTCTGGTGGATAGAGCGTCTGCCCGGACCGTCCCCGTGGTCCAGTGGAAAGAGCGTCTGCCCGGAAAGCGGAAGTTCGGAGGTTTGATCCCCGGCCGCGTCAATCCAAAGATGTAATAGATGATACTGGTGAGTTGTATACACCCGATAATGATCCATATTCACCCGATAATGATCCATATACATCCGATAATGATCCATATTCACCCGATAATGATCCATATTCACCCGATAATGATCAATATACATCCGATAATGATCCATATACACCCGATAATGATCCATATACACCCGATAATGATCAATATACATCCGATAATGATCCATATACACCCGATAATGATCCATATACACCCGATAATGATCCATATTCACCCGATAATGATCCATATACATCCGATAATGACCCATATACACCCGATAATGATCCATATACACCCGATAATGATCCATATTCACCCGATAATGATCCATATACACCCGATAATGATCCATATACACCCGATAATGATCCATATACATCCGATAATGATCAATATACATCCGACAATGATCCATATACACCCGATAATGATCCATATACACCCGATAATGATCCATATTCACCCGATAATGATCCATATACATCCGATAATGATCCATATACACCCGATAATGATCCATATACACCCGATTATGATCCATATACACCCGATCATGATCCATATACAACCGATAATGATCCATATACACCCGATAATGATCCATATACACCCGATCATGATCCATATATTCACCCGATAATGATCCATGTACACCCGATCATGATCCATATATTCACCCGATAATGATCCATATACACCCGATCATGATCCATATTCACCCGATCATGATCCATATACACCCGATAATGATCCATGTACACCCGATAATGATCCATATACACCCGATAATGATCCATATATTCACCCGATAATGATCCATATATTCACCCGATAATGATCCACATACATCCGATAATGATCCATATACACCCGATAATGATCCATATACACCCGATCATGATCCATATACACCCGATAATGATCCATATATTCACCCGATAATGATTCATATACACCCGATAATGATCCATATATTCACCCGATAATGATCCATATACACCCGATAATGATCCATATACACCCGATCATTATCCATATACACCCGATAATGATCCATATACACCCAATTATGATCCATATATTCACCTGATAATGATCCATATACACCCGATCACGATCCATATATTCACCCGATAATGATCCATATACATCCAATAATGATCCATATACACCCGATAATGATCCATATACACCCGATAATGATCCATATACACCCGATCATGATCCATATACACCCGATAATGATCCATATACACCCGGTAATGATCCATATACACCCGATCATGATCCATATATTCACCCGATAATGATCCATGTACACCCGATCATGATCCATATATTCACCCGATAATGATCCATATACACCCGATCATGATCCATATTCACCCGATAATGATCCATATACACCCGATAATGATCCATATACACCCGATAATGATCCATATACACCCGATAATGATCCATATACACCCGATAATGATCCATATATTCACCCGATAATGATCCATATACACCCGATCATGATCCATATATTCACCCGATAATGATCCATATTCACCCGATCATGATCCATATACACCCGATCATGATCCATATACACCCGATAATGATCCATATACACCCGATAATGATCCATATACACCCGATAATGATCCATATATTCACCCGATAATGATCCATATACATCCGATAATGATCCATATACACCCGATCATGATCCATATACACCCGATCATGATCCATATACATCCGATAATGATCCATATATTCACCCGATAATGATCCATATACACCCGATAATGATCCATATTCATCCGATAATGATCCATATACACCTGATCATGATCCATATACACCCGATAATGATCCATATACACCCGATAATGATCCACATACACCCGATAATAAACATGGCTTCTGTCGTTCACCCTAAATCCTGCAGTACCAACCGAGTTCGAAACCCGCCATTGCGATGTGCTCATGTTTAGCTTTTTCATGCATTATACCAATGGCTTGTTCTTTCCGTTGTACCGTTAATCTTAACATGTTATTTGTCACTGTCCAATGGTTTGGGTGTGAATGAAAAGTACATCGTTCCTTTTATATCCATATCTTTGTAGGTTGGCACTTGTAAGTGCAGCACAAGTGTCGCTTCAAACTCAAGTTCCACTAATCCGAGTACTGTAGCACGGTGATTGACATTGCAGTACGCCTAATCATGTTATGCAGGAGGTGAGGTGAAATGGGGTTTTACGTCACGTCCAAGATTATTGCACTTATATAGCGACGTGCATGTACGTGTGTGTGTTTGTGTGGCTGCTTGTACTAGTCCGGACTGATGCCGATTTATAGTGCTAGGTCACTGAGATACCATGCTGCAGTTTAACATGAATACCCCACTCAGACACAGTATACTGACTCCCAGCCGACCAGTCCTTGTTTTAGCCCCTTAATGCCGAGCGTCAGACAGGGTAACAACAAGTACCATCTTTTTACGTCTTTTGGTATGACGCGGCCGGGGATCGAACCCCGGACCTTCCGCTCTCCGGGCGGACGCTCTACCACTAGACCACGGAGGCGGTTGTTATGCAGGAAAGGGCTGTTGGTGCTAGGAGCATTTATAACATACTTCAGTGTGAAAGACTGAGTTTTCCGAAGCTGAGAAAATTGATATTTTCATTGCAGTGAAGATAATACTTGATATTTCACTGCTGTGAAAGTAACACTTTGACGGAACTATTGTCATACAAGAGTGACCTCTCCTTAAATTGTCTCCCTTTATCGTAAGTGTCTGGCTCGTTCACAAACTGTTAACTTCCTTTTGTAAGTTAGTTCCACATTGACAAGGCAGAATTATGACACATGGTCATTTATGGAGTTAATATGCTTAATGGCCTTGGATATTCTCTTGAAAATGTTCCGTTTTAAACTGTAAATTTCTCACTTACCTCGTCAATCGAGACCGTTCGTTTCGCAAAGCGCCATGTTTGTATTCTTTCGCTTCCAACAGCGGTCTCTAAGTTTTCAAGAAGTTGATTTTGTATATTATCATATCTATATGTATGATACAGAATTTTCGCGACCCTAAATATATTTTGTTACTTTTGTTTATATGTTTCATGATTTTGCAAACAAGAAACAAATCACGTCGCAAATACAAGGGGTGGTGATCCGTCACTGAGAGTTAGGTATGGAGAAGAAATACGTTTCAAGGTTTACATTTATAATGAAATAATCTAATATTCCGGTGGACAACAACACAAAAAGTATATAATAAATAAGATAACCCATGTGTCTCACGAAATATCATGTTTCTCTCATCTCGTGACGGGTGAAAAGGAGATATTTTCCCGTCGTTCACTTAGAAAAACATGATATTTCACTCGACAAATGATATATCCTCCATATATTGTTCACGTCCAAACTTTGACCTACTTCTTTCGCAGCCTCTCTCACCATGTGCCTGGCTATCAGGTCTGGCACAGACTTCGCTAGGCGATTCTATGGCCCAAAGTAGTCTGGTAAATATTCCAGAAGTACAATGAAACAATGTTTAGTGTGAAAGTGTGAAGCTATAATTAAACCCCATTAAACCGGACGCACGTGTTTCAAGGGCAATCTTCGGGAATAACACATTCCTTGAAAGTAACAATGTGTGCATATAACTCAATCTCATTAAAATCAGATCTTAGTTTTCGCTACCGCTAAACAAAGATCTGATGACATCCCATTACGGGTCACGTCAGAACGACCTTTCGCGAATTTTGACCGACCAATGAAATGACTGACAAGAAATCGACTTAAGCCAATCAAAAGGCAGCTTTCTCGAGCTTTCGACACTAGTTTCAAACTGGCGACTACGCTTTGAAACATATTTTGACGTATTCTCGATTAAAAAATTAAAACTGATAAGAAGAAAACTCTGGAATTTCGTATAGATGGCCTAGATTGTATGGGTACAATCATAAAACCCGTAACTGTCGTTCGGAATACCGTCAGTTAAATATTTCGTGGTTGCATGATTAGAAAACACATTCCGACTGTCACTTTCATGATCTAGTTAGCGACGCTCTGATTGGTTGGATGAAAGGTCGTTCTGACGTGACCCTTAATGGGATGTCCTCAGATCTTTGTTTAGCGATAGCGAGAACAAAGATCTGATTTAATGAGACTGGCATTTAACTTCTCCTTTTTTTCGCGTTTCAACCAAAACAGCACCACCATCTACCGTCACAATACAACTTTGCTTTCATTCAAGGAAAAACAAAACAGATAAAGATTGCATTCATTGCTTTGAATAGGTGTTTGTTTCATCTTTGCAAGAACTTGCAACGACGTTTCATTTGTTCCGAAAACACAAAACCATCATTCCGAACGCAACCGCAAAAGCTATTGATCGAGCAAGTGATATCGCTCTGTGTGCGGTACACAGTGGAACCCGTGGGTTTGGTACTGTATACACGATAGCATATGTACATATGTATTTTCTCGGGCTTGTCTAAAGGAAACCCAGTCTTGTTTGACAAGTGATATTCCTTCAAACATATGAACATTGCCATGTCACGGTACACAATCAACTAGGCAATATTAGTCGACTACAGGATCTGGATGCAGAGGCGAGTCAACAGATTCAGGTCAACCGAGTTTACAATGCGTGTCATTTCGATATGTCATGTGACGTCGATTTTCACGTTACCCTCTCCTCGTCACGTGACCTTAGCTGTTGTAAATAAAGCGACAATATCCTTTCCATATCAAATAGAAATCTCTGCATAAAGCAGAGTCGATTGTACCATTCCGACTATATCATGAGAATGTGTTTATGAATCACTATCAAACAGTAATGATACCAGGTGTTAGCAAAAAGGTGTGCGTATCCTGCCCCACCGGTGGTACTCGTCACAAACACACGCAAAGTCAAGTCAATTGTTCACCTGAAAAAACAAGGGAACATATGGTACAAGTAAAAATAGGACATAATTTTTGTCACTGATGCGTCAAATTTGGAAATGTCCAATTGTAACCTTGATCAAACAACTTCTGAGCAAGAGACTAATGACGCTCTTTGAAATCTTGGAAGAAAGAGCATGCTCGATTGTATCTCAAGTAGCGAAATGTAAACACCAAAGGCTGGAGCTGCTGGAATATTGCTCGACATGAAGGGAAAGTTGACTATTGGAAAGTTGAAGTCATCCCTCTTGTCATACTGTCTCTTGGAGAGTGTTTTGTCACTCTGAATCTATATACATAGATCTAAATCTGAAACAAATGAGCCTATCTCACTGGTATCCTTTATTTCTAGTTCAGGTGTGTAAATCAGTGGAAGGGAATTGGCTATTTAATTATTATTGAACGATATCAGATCATCGATATACCTGAAGCTTAAGTTAAACTTCTCGGCCAAATTACCTTGTTTTGACTTTGCAAATCCGAACTGAAATTCCCATTCATATGCATAAAAATACAGATCCGCAAGAAGGTGAGCACAATTGGTGCCCATGGGGATGCCAACCTCTTGCCTAAATGACTTACCCTTAGATGTTATCATGAGGAAGTCCAGCATTTCGTATATTGTTTTATCAATAAACTTCGGATGGCATTTGCTTTCATTTTTCACAAATTGCCCTGAACCTCTGAATATAGATACTTAACTGTGTCTGTGTTCATCACGTTTTGTAACAAAAGCCCCATGGATCAAGGAATGAAGTTTTTCCTTAAGTTTGTCATGTGAGATTGTGGTGTACGAAGTTCAAAACTTAAATGTTTTGATAGAATGGAACTTGGTTCTTTTCTGAGATTGCAAAAAGTCAACCAAATCCTTTGAGTTTTTGAGAATCCACATGGTATTAATTCCACTTGTCTCAAATACTTTCTGTGAACATAAAGAAAGTCCTTCCTTGATTGTATTAAGGGTTATGGTTTATCTTTGAGCCAGAGATTTGGTGGTACATTTGCTGAACCAAGCAATATATCTGTCTCTGTACGATTTTTTATGGAGCTTTGGAGTCCAGTACAAAAGAGGAATGGATATGTCTTCAGATTTTAGAGTCAAGTCAAAAGTTGACAGTTCTGATTTATGGGTTTGGCAGATTAATTCCTCAGTTAACATACAGGCCTTATATGTAGCATTATTTGATATGTCATTTATACCAAGTTCTTTGATCAAACATTTAATGTAGTGATGCTTACATATAATGGTTATTTTAGACCTTGTCAGTTGGAACAACTACAAACTTATACGTGTGCTGTGCTGTGCTGTGCTGTGCTGTGCTGTGCTGTGCTATGCTATGCTATGCTATGCTATGCTATGCTATGCGATGCTAAACACCATACTATACTAAACACCATAGTAATACGAAATATGGATGCATTTGTGATTATAGGATCTGTTCCTAAAAAAATCATATATCGCAAGACATATCTTACTCAGTCCAGACATCACATTCAAATCAATTGTTTTTCATAGCAGTTCACAATCCGTATTCCGTTAGCAAAAACAGGACAGTTTTACAGTTTACTAACCGGAAGTGTTCGCTGACGCGGAAGTAAACAAGACCCACACTCCGTCGCAGTGGTGACTCAGCATAACACCACTGCCACAGGCTAATTTGCATATCACGTGACCGGACTTTTCTCTTGTTTGTAAACAAACGCGCTTTTTCAGAAATCAGTATAGAACAGACTAATGCAAGTATTTGGGGGCGCTTTACATATTGTTTTGCATAACTATATAGATATGCTACTACAACTGCGACAGTGAGTTGCATGACAATATATATTTATGCATCAAAGTGACCGTGTGGCTAGCTCTCCGTTGGGCTTCGATGACAGCACGTGGAGCCGTACAACCAATGTAAACATAGGATAACCACGCAAAATCAAGTAGATTTTTACATATTTGCATACTTTCTCAATGAAAGTTAACCATTCTTTGACATTTGTTTATGAAAATGTGTAGACTTGTCAAACATGAAACGGGTGAAAAGCATATGCAATATCTTGAATGGACTGTGAAAGATGTGACGAATCGTCACATGGCGCTGGCCTGTGGCAGAGGTACTATGCTAGCTGGCTGCCGGCCGCATGGAACTCTGGGTAGGAGAGTGAACAAGACCATGCTCGTGAGTTGACTCGCTGTTGTGACGTTGTGACATGACACGGTGACAGCACCTAAACCTAGTTTTATTTGTTTTGTCCAGAGGTCACTTTGAGTTTTGGATAGTAAGTATACATAACAAAACAATTATCTCATGCGTACTGTCTGTACCCCGATCGGCGCATCATATGAAAATAATGCAATTATTTTGCCATTAGCTCTCCCCTCGGAGAGGAGGAATTTGTCGCCTGAATGACTGCATGGCGATAAGGTGTACAACATCGTGGACGATCGTATTTCAGGTTAACTCTCGAAACAATTGTTGTTTCAGAGTGACGATTTCATTCATGAATGCAGCGTAAAGTGTCATAAATCAGATGCAATAATTGCTAAATATCTGTTAGATGCAAACCTATATATTCTATGTAGGTATGTGCGTCGGTTACCAGCAATATAATGTAATAAATGAGACAAAGAGGATTGTGGATGAAAAAAGGGCGCATTGTGGATGGGGCTGACGGGACAGTATGCGTGAGCAGCAGAGTTGTGGCCCTCCGCCGTGGCATGGCAGACGGGTATAGGAACGGGATCTTTGTACGCCCTCCCGCGGAAACAGCAGGAAGATTTGGACTGCCGCTGTAGAAGCAGCAGCCAAGTACCCAGAACCCTGCCGCACCTAGTTTATTGTATAAACCGTGATATGTACATGAAGTATACAAGAAACTGTGCACCATATGAGTTATATGTTCCTCCCTCCCCCCCGCCCCCCTAAGTTATGCTATTGTAGGGAGGGGAGGGTGGGAAATTTAAGGGATAAAAAAGAGAATGCCAAAAGTGATAGTAAGCACGGCACACTGCTTTGGTGAAAGGAAGTGACGTATGGCAGAGAACGTGACGTAGGGCTCATGAATTTATCGAAGTGACGTAATTGCCGGTTGCTGATAAACACGGAAGTAAATGGGGGATTACATGTGCGAGGTGAATTTTGTCTTACTTACGTAGAGCGAATAAATTGTGGGATGTCACATAAATGCTGCCTATTAACCCATCTATGAATTACTGCTAAATGTTAATATGTTTCGGGGTAACAGTGCAGTTTTAACGGCTGCAGCTTTGTAGCGCTAATTGACTCAGGATGCCGACTGCTGTTCTCACTTCACAGATCTTATGTGCCTTTTCGATCCTTAGACCGAATCTGTGCTCTTGTGGTAGGGCGTCCGCTCAGAGGATGGAAGTTCCAGGGTTTGATCCCCGTCCGCGTCATACCAAAAGACGTTTAAAGATGGTACTTGTTGTTACCCTGTCTGGCGCTTGGCATTAAGGGGCTAAAACAAGGACTGGTCGGCTCGGAGTCAGTATGCTGTGTCTGAGTGGGGTATTCAAGTTAAACTGCAGCATGGTATCTTAGTGGGCTAGCGCTATAAAATCGGCATTAGTCCACACATACACACACATGCATGTACCTTGCTATATAAGTGCAATAATCTTGAACGCGATGTTAAACCCCATGTCACCTCACCCCTTTTATCCTTAAGGTTAGTGGTGTTTGGGTAAGGGTAGGTTACCCCCAACTCAAGAACCCCTTTCCGATTATTAGGGTTTGGTACCCCTTTCCGATGAAACAACCCTTCACGATCCTTAGGATTGGCTCTGAGGTGGGTTATGGGTTAGTTGTAAGGTGGGGTATGGGTTGAAGAAACACCATACAGTTTTTATCAAGTTTTGATTTGCTCCAAAAAAATGGCTACTGCGCAAGCACATAAAGGTAAACAATCACTTGCTGATGACTTGGTAAACAAGCACTAATTACCGTATTCAACGTAATAAGCGCCCAGGGCACTCTCAAAATTAGGGATCAGGGGCTCTTATTAGAATATTATTTCGGTAAATTTTGTGGTTTATGCTGACAGCCTGAAATGTTTATGTACTGACAGATATATTTTTCCAGAATTAAATTCCCCATAATTAAGGGTGCATATAACACACGAGTGTGTATTATACGCGTATAAATAAGTCTTGTGTACATTGATCAATTGGAAGGAGTGCTAATTGGGATTGTTAGCAAATATTGCCATGGGCGCTTATTAGAGCGAGGCGCTTATAACGTCGAATACGGTATTTGTGATAGCGCCCAGCTTCATCTATGGGGAACAATTTACTAGACACTTCCCGCTCCAAACTAACGTTGTTCAATATGTGACGTTATCAAGTTGCAAGCGCATATTCAAATCTCCAGAAATGCGTCAAGGTAGAACAATATTTTATCGTGAAATAAACCACACTTCATCCTTCATTGTTCTTTGTGATTTATCGCCTAGCTATCTTATATCCACTGAGAAGTGCTAAGATAAGCAGTATTTTGCAAATCTCCACTTTTGATACTGTAAATCTTGAAATTAACGCGAGCGTGAATTAAATACGAAAAATGCGAGTGGTCTTTGCTCGCATTTTTAAGCACCGCATTTATATCAACAATAAGACATTTTGGATAGCAAAAATACCAACTTAGACATACGCTGATGTATTCCACACCACTATTTATTGAGCAGCACTTGTATATAAAGAATATAAACAATGTCATTCAAACACTAATTACGTCCTGTGAATTATCACTGCTGAGGTCAAGACAAGAGTTCTACTCACTTATGTCATCACTGATCACACCTGCAAGTCCAGACAGACTTCACCCAACATGTCTCTTAGCGACTGCGTCAAAGGCCGACACCAGCCAGCGCGCATGTATTGCTTTTGCAGGAGTACTTTACTCAGCGCTAATAAGCGGTGCTATTTGGTGTGTGATTGGATTAATGTACAGATGTAAGGTTGGATTAAGGTGAGGATTCTAAACCTGACTGAGGACATTTTCTTTAGATAGAAATCCACTGATGCTTGAGAGGAGGGGGTGTCACATTCATATTGAGTTGCATTTTTGGCTAGAGTCCAGTGGTTGCATTCTTTTGGAGACGCATTAATTTCACAATTTACAGTATTTGAACTAATTTCAACATGAATATAAGATTATCAGCTATTATATTATTTTTATTGTATTTCATCTTAGGGTTAAATGTTAAGGAGAATGTTGTTTGTTTACAATGACCTGTCAACAGGGTGGATTAGTAAACTGTTTGGTTCAGTTGGACTTCATTGATATATGTTTTACCTGAACCTTCAGAACCATTGAGATTGCAATAGGGGTGAAATGATACAGCAAGGTCAAGATAAGATATGTATCATGATACATACATCAAATCGCATGTGAATGTCAGCTCCAGTTCAAAAGGAAAAGCTCGCTGTAGACACATGTTCGTGGCGGCTATTTTTAGTAGAGAACTTAAAACGCTAATTACAACATTTTTTGCGATATTTGAATGACAAAAACGCAGAGGTCATTAAACAAGTAGTAAAGAATTTATTTTAGCAATTCAATCGTCTTGTATTGATACAAAAAACAACTGTATTGTGTATCGTATCGTCGCGTGAAAACTCACGATGCACTGGTGCACCGATGTATCATTTCACCCTTAATTTGCAAGGGTAGAACATGCTTATTCAAATGCCAGAACTAGAATTTAAGATGGTATACAAGTATTTTATTTGTTCTTTCAGATCATTTATCACTGAATTCCAACTTACTGACACAATCACAGAATCCCATTCTGTAGGATCCCGAGTCATGGCACAAGCAGCGAGGGGTGAACAGAAGAGTGGATGGAAGAACAAGGCCAAACCTGTAAGACACCTATGCTGTTTATTATCCACAGCATTTTACTCTTCCTTACACCAGATACCTGTGAAGATTCCGGGGTAGAATAGGTCTTCAGCAACCCATGCTTGCCGTAAAAGGCGACTATGCTTGTCGTAAAAGGCGACTAACGGGATTGGGTGGTCAGGCTCGCTGACTTGGTTGATGCATGTCATCAATCCCAATTGCATGGATCGATGCTCATGATATCAATCACTGGATTGTCTGGTCCAGCCTCGATTATTTACAGACCGCTGTCATATAGCTGGAATATTGCTGAGTGCGGCGTTAAACAACAAACAGTTCCAACCAAACAAACCTTACACCAGAAACAGCCATAGAGGGGTTTATTTTATTAAAAAAAATAATTAAATTTGGGGGGGGGGGGGGGGGGGAGGAGGGAGAGGAAGCGAAGGAGTAGTTGAGATTGGGGGTGTTAATATTTAGGCGCACACTCATGTATTAATCTTCATGACTTTGATGCCTCTCTGTCCAGGTCAATATTCAGCCCCCAGCCTAGAGCAATTGTCAGTAAAAATTCCAAAATTGGAGTTAAAGAATTGCCAAGTTATGTTATTTCACTGACCATGCTGACAACTATTTCGCAAGGGAGATAACTGACTCTAAAAGTCCAATTTCCCCCCTTGCCGAACTAGGCTGGAATTATGGAGTTATATATTTTGGCTGGACTAATGTGTCTAAGCATACTCGTAGTCCAATCAAAATCGCGTTATGAAATCAACATCCGGTTTGTAAACTGCCGTGCAGATTTTGGTCGATTGCAGAATTTGCAAAGCATGTGTACCGTCAACTAAGCGTCAACTGATATTTTCCAAATCATTTCATGCTTTTAATCATGGTGCTCACATGATTTGATGCACTTTACGAAGTAAGACCTGTTTTGTTTCAATTTAGATCTTGGTTATCGATAAGATCGTCTTCACTGGGCGCCACCATTTTGTTTGTATCAAATTCAAGTGATATAAGAGGTGGAATCTGATTAGTCAATAGGATGGACATAGAAGGACATAACTCGTAATAACCAGTGGTGGCGCTACGGTCGAGCCCAGAAATTCCATCCGCGTTCGGCGAGGGTCGTAACTGGACTATTACAGTCAGTTAACTCCCTTGCCTCAGGAAGATGTCTGACAACAGGACCTCTAAACAAGAAGAGGCTTTAATGTTTAGTTTTACAATTTTGCAATAAATGAAATATTAAAATACCCCTGAATTTAAGTAAAAAAAGGAAATAATGTTTTTTCCCATTTTGTGTGTGATGTGCTAATGTTGTCTCGGAAAGTAGCAGTGAGGAAAATGCAAGCAAAGTTTTGTTTCTGTCATTTGCAGCATGATTCCCATGAAGTCCAGCTGTCCAAGTGTCTGTCGTGGGTGTTGAGACATGGCGTGAACTCTGTTGGCCTCACATTCCTGCCAGGTGGGTGCACACTTAAGCCATGCCAGCTTACGTCTTTATTGATGTCAAAGTGTTGCAGCTATGATGCACCAGTATCTGTGATCCAGCAGTAACTACAATCCGTCTTTATCTGTAATAAAACAGTGACTATAATCTACCAGTAACTATAATCCACCAGTAACTATACTCCACCAGTAACTATAGTCCACCAGTAACTATAGTCCACCAGTAACTATACTCCACCAGTAACTATACTCCACCAGTTACTATAGTCCACTAGTAACTATAATCCACCAGTTACTATAGTCCACAGTAACTATACTCCACCAGTAACTATACTCCACCAGTAACTATAGTCCACCAGTAACTATAGTCCACCAGTAACTATAGTCCACCAGTAACTATAGTCCACCAGTAACTATAGTCCACCAGTTACTATAGTCCACCAGTAACTATACTCCACCAGTAACTATAGTCCACCAGTAACTATACTCCACTAGTAACTATACTCAACCAGTAACTATACTCCAACAGTAACTATAGTCCACCAGTTACTATAGTCCACTAGTAACTATACTCCACCAGTAACTATACTCCACCAGTTACTATCGTGAACCAGTAACTATACTCCACCAGTAACTATACTCCACCAGTAACTATAGTCCACCAGTAACTATAGTCCACCAGTGACTATACTCAACCAGTAACTATACTCAACCAGTAACTATACTCCACCAGTTACTATACTCCACCAATAACTATAATCCACCAGTTACTATACTCCACCAGTTACTATACTCCACCAGTTACTATACTCCACCAGTAACTATAATCCACCAGTTACTATACTCCACCAGTTACTATACTCCACCAGTTACTATACTCCACCAGTAACTATACTCCACCAGTAACTATAATCCACCAGTTATTATACTCCACCAGTTACTATACTCCACCAGTTACTATATTCAACCAGTAACTATACTCCAACAGTAACTATAGTCCACCAGTTTCTATAGTCCACTAGTAACTATACTCCACCAGTAACTATACTCCACCAGTTACTATAGTCCACCAGTAACTATACTCCACCAGTAACTATACTCCACCAGTTACTATACTCCACCAGTTACTATACTCCACCAGTAACTATACTCCACCAGTAACTATACTCCACCAGTTACTGTAGTCCACCAGTAACTATACTCAACCAGTTACTATACTCCACCAGTAACTATAATCCACCAGTAACTATACTCCACCAGTTACTATAATCAACCAGTTACTATACTCCACCAGTTACTATACTCCACCAGTTACTATACTCCACCAGTTACTATACTCCACCAGTAACTATAGTCCACCAGTAACTATACTCCACCAGTTACTATACTCCACCAGTAACTATAATCCACCAGTTATTATACTCCACCAGTTACTATACTCCACCAGTTACTATACTCAACCAGTAACTATACTCCAACAGTAACTATACTCCAACAGTTACTATACTCCACCAGTTACTATAGTCCACTAGTAACTATACTCCACCAGTAACTATACTCCACCAGTTACTATAGTCCACTAGTAACTATAATCCACCAGTTACTATAGTCCACAGTAACTATACTCCACCAGTAACTATACTCCACCAGTTACTATAATCAACCAGTTACTATACTCCACCAGTTACTATAATCCATCAGTAACTATACTCCACCAGTAACTATACTCCACCAGTTACTATACTCCACCAGTTACTATAATCAACCAGTTACTATACTCCACCAGTTACTATACTCCACCAGTTACTATACTCCACCAGTAACTATAGTCCACCAGTAACTATACTCCACCAGTTACTATACTCCACCAGTAACTATAATCCACCAGTTATTATACTCCACCAGTTACTATACTCCACCAGTTACTATACTCAACCAGTAACTATACTCCAACAGTAACTATAGTCCACCAGTTACTATAGTCCACTAGTAACTATACTCCACCAGTAACTATACTCCACCAGTTACTACAGTCCACCAGTAACTATAATCCACCAGTTACTATAGTCCACCAGTAACTATACTCCACCAGTAACTATACTCCACCAGTTACTATACTCCACCAGTTACTATAATCAACCAGTTACTATACTCCACCAGTTACTATACTCCACCAGTTACTTTAATCCACCAGTTACTATACTCCACCAGTTACTATACTCCACCAGTAACTATAATCCACCAGTTACTATACTCCACCAGTAACTATACTCCACCAGTTACTATACTCCACCAGTTACTGTAGTCCACCAGTAACTATACTCCACCAGTTACTATACTCCACCAGTAACTATAATCCACCAGTAACTATACTCCACCAGTTACTGTAGTCCACCAGTAACTATAATCCACCAGTGACTATAATCCACCAGTAACTATAATCCACCAGTAACTATAATCCACCAGTTACTATAATCAACCAGTTACTTTTCTCCACCAGTGACTATACTCCACCAGTAACTTTAACTCGCACAAAGTCAAAATATCACACTAAATTGTGTTATTCTCAGATTTTTCAAATGTTTAGCATTAGAACATAAATTATGATATATTAATTATTGCGGCTCCAGCCCACCACCCCTCGCTTCCAAGTCCCCCTCACACAATCTGGTTGTCCCCCAAGTACCCACATGGGAAGAATATAATGCTGCATGTGTTTCCTTCCTTGCTGGGTGCACGGGTGGCCCAGTCATCTAAGGCGCCGCGATTCGCTGTGCAGAGTTGCGTCCCTTGGGCACGCCAGAAACCTATGATTGTGGGTTCGAATCCCGGTTCGCCCCGATTATGTTTCTAGGTTTGTGAGCACCATACCCGTGCTCTTGGGTTTCACCGTAGTGGTAAATGTCTGAGACCTGCATCACTTCGGGCTTTCCTCCAACATTAAGCTGACACGCCGCGATATAACTGGAATACTGTTAAAAGCGGCGTTAAACCTAACTCACTCACTCACTCACTCAGTCCTTCCTTTGCTTCTTGATGGAATACTCCACACTCCTTGTTTAACATTTATGTTTCATTTGAAGCCCATCCATCAGCAATTAATGTTCAACAATGTTCAAAGATGCCTGAAACGGGTTGTTTAACAAGCATTAAAAAAATATTTAATTGTCCCACTTATGAAAATTTTGGAACATAAGCTTTGATGCTCTGCCTGCAGGTGGCTTTCTGTATGTATCGGACGTGCTCAAACTTCCCCGGTTTTCTAAGTTCACACTAGAGGAAGTGCGGAGTGTGGTTGCTAACAACGACAAACAGAGATTTACTCTGGAAACTGACCCAGATAATGGACAGTTAAAGATACGTGCCAATCAGGGACACTCCGTTCAAGTGAGTAGCTATAATTTACAATTTGTGACCATATATGGGCAACAAATACTAATTTGCATCCTCGTTTATCCAGTGTATGATATCCCTATTCCGTTATGGTAAACACCCTGGAACCATTCCCTGCAATAGCATCATTATGATGTAAAACACATCCAGTCATGCTATGAGTGAGTGAGAGAACTTCTGTGTTACGTGTGGAGAGAAGAGTCAAAGGCATCTCCCCGAGGTGAGAGTGTCCACTGGCCTATATCAAAGCCTAGTCTCTACCCTTGCCACCTCGCATAGATCATGAAGCTGCCCCTTGTAATGAAAACACAATATCCAATCAGATCGCTATTCATATCTTGTATAGCTTCACAAAGGTGGCCAATACCATAGGCGATGATCAGATTCAGGATATCATCCCTGACACAAAAACATGGGTAATCGTTGGGGGGCTAAAAAGATAAAAAAGATATATTCATGTCAACAAAGACAGTCAGTGGTAAATCACTTTCATACGAAGGTGTACCAGTCGTGGATGTTAATATTGTGTAATGTTTTGACTATTGATATGTGCGATTGTCTAGTTAAAAGTATACAGAAGTACAGCTGTATTAGCTTTTCAAGCTATCTTATTTTTAATGCTATACAAATTTGTTTGGAAATTACATGGATGATAACAGTCATCATGTCATATAAAAAAAATATCAATATTTTCTACGAGGTGGAAGGGGGATATAGGAATGGTTACTGTTCGCCCGTCTTTCCATCCATTCCTCCGTCATGTTTCATTTCCGGAGCAGAACTAAAAAACCATGAGAGATATCTAAACTAAACTTGGCACATAGATAGGTCTAGTAGTGAACTTGTGCCTTTTGATAGTCTGGGAGTTTTGAAAAATTAATTTTTTCGAGGTTCCACAGCAATCACTTCGACTTAGACTGAAAATGGCGGTAGTGCTTGTCTCCGAGGGTTAATGCCTTGCACACAACCGGACATGTCATATTGGCAGGGGGTATGAGTATTTCGTGCTTGTTTTGTATCATATTTTGTTGATATTCTTGATGATTGGCAATATGCATTGTTACCTGTAGGTTGAGGATCTCCAGCTGACACCCCTCACAGACAGCACTGAGTACCCACTGATCATCCACGGGACCTACCTACAGGCCTGGAGGAGCATTAAGTCCCAGGTAACTCGTTATGTCTCGGGGAACGTCAAGATAACTTATCAAAAGTTACAGGTTAGTCCTTGATAACTCATAAAGTCTCAGGTAGATAAGTGAGTGAGTGAGTTGGGTTTAACGCCACTTTTTTTGTACAGTATTCCAGTTATATCAATCCACGTCATCTTAATGTGTGAGGAAAGCCCAAAGTGATGCAGGTCTAAGACGTTTATCAGTTTGGTGAAACCCTCGAGCACGGGTATGGTGCTGACAGACCTAGAAATATATAAATGGGATTTGGATTCATAATCATAGGATTCTGGCATGCTCAAGAGAAACAACTCTGCACGGTGAATTGCGGCACTTAAGATGACTTGGGCCACCCGTGCCTCCTCAGGTAAGTACCAGGTAGTAAGTCATTGAATCTCTGGTCACTTGTAGTCACTAACTCAGTCTCAGGTGAGACCCAGGGTACTTATTAGGTTTCAGGTGAGTCCCAAGTAACTCATTAGGTTTCAGGTGAGTCCTAGGTAACTCATTAGGTTTCAGGTGAGTCCTAGGTAACTCATTAGGTTTCAGGTGAGTCCTAGGTAACTCATTAGGTTTCAGGTGAGCCCTAGGTAACTCATTAGGTTTTAGGTGAGTCCTAGGTAACTCATTAGGTTTCAGGTGAGTCCTAGGTAACTCATTAGGTTTCAGGTGAGTCCTAGGTAACTCATTAGGTTTCAGGTGAGTCCTAGGTAACTCATTAGGTTTCAGGTGAGGCCTTAGTAACTCATTAGGTTCTAGGTGAATCCCAGGTAACTCATTCAGTCTCAGGTAAGTCCAAGGTAAATCATTAGGTTTCAGGTGAGTCTTAGGGAACTCATTAGGTTTCAGGTGAGTGCCAAGTAACTCATCAGGTTTCAGGTGAGTCCCAGGTAACTCATCAGGTTTAAGGTGAGTCCTAGGTAACTCGTTATATTTCATGTGAGTCCTAATAAGTCATTAACATAATATTTAGTCTTGTGAGTTCAGGATGAGTTCTATATAATTCATTAAGTCTCTATTCCTACCTGTCTTTATTTCAAGGGATTAAGAAAGATGAAGAGGAATCATATTCACTTTGCTGTTGGGGAGCCAGGGGAAGATGGAGTCGTCAGTGGTGAGGTGTCTGCACACAGCAGTACAAAGTTAGAAATTGAGTAGTTCTGAATTTATTAATCCCAGCGTGTTCACTGAGGATGGAGGTGTCACAGTCAGCCATTGCTTTGGAGTGCCATGTAGGAGTTTCCAGCACCTCGTGCTTGTGTTAAGAGGGGATTTCCAACTGAAACCTAAAGTGCTGTTGTGTAAAGAATTGAATTTTGAAATCAGTAAATGACCACACAAGACCAATAAATCATCCATTAAATATATTCAAACAAACCACTTTAGGTTTGCAATGCAAGCAGAATATGTCCTAGGTCATTTAAGCATGATCAGTGGCAGCACCATTAAGTAGCTGGCCCTAGAATGAATGTAACGACACTCAAGAAAGTTCAGAATTTGGTCACAGTCCAGCGCTTTGAAACGGGCCTGTCTCCATTCTTGAATACAGAGGAGTTATGGAACCACCGGGAACTGGGTATCCAATCCGCTTTTGGCTAGTAGACAAAAAGTCAGGTTGAAAAAGGACTAAAATCACCCTTGTGTCGCTCTTATGAGGTACACCCAGCCTTCTAGAAACTGTCCCAGCCAAAACTTCTCAAATGATCCAGTCTGTCATGTTTGTAAAACAACAAGGAGCAGATAACTCCAAATTCCCCTATTTGTTTAAATATGGCACTACAGCAACTGACATTTGCTGCCACTAACAATCACTGCAGATATATTTAGTGTCTATTGCCACGTTACATTTGTCATCAGTCACCTGACCCATAAATGTTGAACCCTGAAGCCTTGTATCTGGACTGCTACTGTATGTACTAGGTCAGAATTGGATGATCTCTAAACCTTGTCTGTTGCAGGAATGCGGAAATCCTGTGATGTGATGATCTATGTTGATGTAGCGAAGGCTCTGGCAGGTGGGTAGATACAGGATGATCTGTGTTGATGTAGCGAGGGCTCTGGCAGGTGGGTAGATACAGGATGATCTGTGTTGATGTAGCGAGGGCTCTGGCAGGTGGGTAGATACAGGTGATGATCTGTGTTGATGTAGCGAAGGCTCTGGCAGGTGGGTAGATACAGGATGATCTGTGTTGATGTAGCGAGGGCTCTGGCAGGTGGGTAGATACAGGATGATCTGTGTTGATGTAGCGAGGGCTCTGGCAGGTGGGTAGATACAGGTGATGATCTGTGTATATGTAGCGAGGGCTCTGGCAGGTGGGTAGATACAGGATGATCTGTGTTGATGTAGCGAGGGCTCTGGCAGGTGGGTAGATACAGGTGATGATCTGTGTTGATGTAGCGAAGGCTCTGGCAGGTGGGTAGATACAGGATGATCTGTGTTGATGTAGCAAGGGCTCTGGCAGGTGGGTAGATACAGGTGATGATCTGTGTTGATGTAGCGAGGGCTCTGGCAGGTGGGTAGATACAGGATGATCTGTGTTGATGTAGCGAGGGCTCTGGCAGGTGGGTAGATACAGGATGATCTGTGTTGATGTAGCAAGGGCTCTGGCAGGTGGGTAGATACAGGTGATGATCTGTGTTGATGTAGCGAGGGCTCTGGCAGGTGGGTAGATACAGCATGATCTGTGTTGATGTAGCGAGGGCTCTGGCAGGTGGGTAGATACAGGATGATCTGTGTTGATGTAGCGAGGGCTCTGGCAGGTGGGTAGATACAGGATGATCTGTGTTGATGTAGCGAGGGCTCTGGCAGGTGGGTAGATACAGGTGATGATCTATGTTGATGTAGCGAGGGCTCTGGCAGGTGGGTAGATACAGGTGATGATCTGTGTTGATGTAGCGAGGGCTCTGGCAGGTGGGTAGATACAGGATGATCTGTGTTGATGTAGCGAGGGCTCTGGCAGGTGGGTAGATACAGGATGATCTGTGTTGATGTAGCGAAGGCTCTGGCAGGTGGGTAGATACAGGATGATCTGTGTTGATGAGGCGAGGGCTCTGGCAGGTGGGTAGATACAGGATGATCTGTGTTGATAAGGCGAGGGCTCTGGCAGGTGGGTAGATACAGGTGATGATCTGTGTTGATGAGGCGAGGGCTCTGGCAGGTGGGTAGATACAGGATGATCTGTGTTGATGTAGCGAGGGCTCTGGCAGGTGGGTAGATACAGGTGATGATCTGTGTTGATGTAGCGAGGGCTCTGGCAGGTGGGTAGATACAGGATGATCTGTGTTGATGAGGCGAGGGCTCTGGCAGGTGGGTAGATACAGGTGATGATCTGTGTTGATGTAGTGAAGGCTCTGGCAGGTGGGTAGATACAGGATGATCTGTGTTGATGTAGCGAGGGCTCTGGCAGGTGGGTAGATACAGGTGATGATCTGTGTTGATGTAGAGAGGGCTCTGGCAGGTGGGTAGATACAGGATGATCTGTGTTGATGAGGCGAGGGCTCTGGCAGGTGGGTAGATACAGGTGATGATCTGTGTTGATGTAGTGAAGGCTCTGGCAGGTGGGTAGATACAGGATGATCTGTGTATATGTAGCGAGGGCTCTGGCAGGTGGGTAGATACAGGTGATGATCTGTGTATATGTAGCGAGGGCTCTGGCAGGTGGGTAGATACAGGATGATCTGTGTTGATGTAGCAAGGGCTCTGGCAGGTGGGTAGATACAGCATGATCTGTGTTGATGTAGCGAGGGCTCTGGCAGGTGGGTAGATACAGGTGATGATCTGTGTTGATGTAGCGAGGGCTCTTGCAGGTGGGTAGATACAGGTGATGATCTGTGTTGATGTAGCGAAGGCTCTGGCAGGTGGGTAGATACAGGATGATCTGTGTATATGTAGCGAAGGCTCTGGCAGGTGGGTAGATACAGGTGATGATCTGTGTTGATGTAGCGAAGGCTCTGGCAGGTGGGTAGATACAGGATGATCTGTGTATATGTAGCGAAGGCTCTGGCAGGTGGGTAGATACAGGATGATCTGTGTTGATGTAGCGAAGGCTCTGGCAGGTGGGTAGATACAGGTGATGGTCTGTGTTGATGGAGCGAGGGCTCTGGCAGGTGGGTAGATACAGGATGATCTGTGTTGATGTAGCGAGGGCTCTGGCAGGTGGGTAGATACAGGTGATGATCTGTGTTGATGTAGCGAGGGCTCTGGCAGGTGGGTAGATACAGGATGATCTGTGTTGATGTAGGGAGGGCTCTGGCAGGTGGGTAGATACAGGTGATGATCTGTGTTGATGTAGCGAGGGCTCTTGCAGGTGGGTAGATACAGGATGATCTGTGTATATGTAGCGAGGGCTCTGGCAGGTGGGTAGATACAGGTGATGATCTGTGTTGATGTAGCGAGGGCTCTTGCAGGTGGGTAGATACAGGATGATCTGTGTTGATGTAGCGAGGGCTCTGGCAGGTGGGTAGATACAGGATGATCTGTGTTGATGTAGCGAGGGCTCTGGCAGGTGGGTAGATACAGGATGATCTGTGTATATGTAGCGAGGGCTCTGGCAGGTGGGTAGATACAGGTGATGATCTGTGTTGATGTAGCGAGGGCTCTTGCAGGTGGGTAGATACAGGATGATCTGTGTTGATGTAGCGAGGGCTCTGGCAGGTGGGTAGATACAGGATGATCTGTGTTGATGTAGCGAGGGCTCTGGCAGGTGGGTAGATACAGGATGATCTGTGTTGATGTAGCGAGGGCTCTTGCAGGTGGGTAGATACAGGATGATCTGTGTTGATGTAGCGAGGGCTCTTGCAGGTGGGTAGATACAGGATGATCTGTGTTGATGTAGCGAGGGCTCTGGCAGGTGGGTAGATACAGGATGATCTGTGTTGATGTAGCGAGGGCTCTGGCAGGTGGGTAGATACAGGTGATGATCTGTGTTGATGTAGCGAGGGCTCTTGCAGGTGGGTAGATACAGGTGATGGTCTGTGTATATGTAGCGAGGGCTCTAGCAGGTGGGTAGATACAGGTGATGATCTGTGTTGATGTAGCGAGGGCTCTGGCAGGTGGGTAGATACAGGATGATCTGTGTATATGTAGCGAGAGCTCTGGCAGGTGGGTAGATACAGGTGATGATCTGTGTTGATGTAGCGAGGGCTCTTGCAGGTGGGTAGATACAGGATGATCTGTGTTGATGTAGAGAGGGCTCTGGCAGGTGGGTAGATACAGGATGATCTGTGTTGATGTAGAGAGGGCTCTGGCAGGTGGGTAGATACAGGATGATCTGTGTATATGTAGCGAGGGCTCTGGCAGGTGGGTAGATACAGCATGATCTGTGTTGACATTTGTGTTTATTGTTTCGTGGTATAATTTTTTATTGTGACGTTTCATTTATTAAACTTTCACTGTTCTACTTTCACATATTTCTGAATCTATATATCAGCGAAAACAATATACCATCAGAGACAGCAGTGTTTTATGTCTTTCACAGCTGGTGTCAAGTTTTTCAAGTCTGCAAACAATGTGATATTGAGTCCGGGGACAGATGATGGAGTTATCCCCCCTTGTTTCTTCAGCCAAGTCATAGACAGAAGTACAGGTTGGTTTGTTTGTTTGTTTGTTGTTTAATGCCACACTCAGCACTATTCCAGCTATATGATGGCTGTCTGTAAATAAGTGAGTCTGGACCAGACAATCCAGAGATTGACATCATGAGCATCGATCTATGCAATTGGGATACGATGACATGCATCAACCAAGTCAGCGAGTCTCACCACCCGATCCCGTTAGTCGCCTCTCGAGACAAGCATAGTCGCCTTTTACGGCAAGCATGGATTGCTGAAGACCTATTCTACCCCGGATCTTCACGGGTCAGAAGTATGTGTATTGTCACACAGAGAAGTACCATCTTCCCAAGGCAAGGCGTTAACTGACAATAAAAGGACAGTTTTCACACTTGCAGAACCTGGCAGGAATTCCGGGGTTACGTTGTGGTTGGACTAACGTCTCTATGCATAGTCCAATCAAAATCGTGTAACGAACTAAATATCCGGTTCGTAAACAGCATTGATTCCATCGTGCAGAGTTCGGTCGACTGCAGGATTTACAAAGCATGTGTACCATCTGCTGGGTGTTGACAGATATTTTTCAAATCTTTTCAAATTTTTAAACAAAGTGCTCAAGTCATTTATAACAATATTGTTCTTGATTATCGATCAGTTCGTCTTGACTGAGCACTGCAATTTTGTTTGAAGCAAATGCAAGTGATATGAGAGATGGAATCTGATTGGTCAATGGGAGGAACATAGAAGGGACATAACCCATAAAAGCCACTGCTGACGCTTCGATCGAGCCTGGAAAAATCCAGCCTCGTTCAACAAAGGTGGAAACTGGACTTTTATAGTCAGTAAACGCCCTTGCCTCGGGAAGATGAGAATGATATGTATTGTCACACACAAAGACATTCTCACTGTTATCATCCATCTCCCAATAGTTGTGTAATGATATGTAGAAGTAAAACCAAAGAAGCAGAATATCTAGGACAAAGCCCAATACTAATTTCTTGCAATATTTGTTTCAGGAGCTGAGTTGCCTCTTGGAGACGATGCTGACCCAGGTGCACACAGTGGCAAGGTTGGCGCTGTCACTGCAGATGATGTTGCTGATGAAATGGAGATGTCTCGCAAACAGAGGAGGAAGAAAAAGAAGCACAAGAAGAGTGAAACAGACTGAAATAAACAACTACATCCCACCTAGTTACTACCAGTTTATATGACTCAGTGTTCCCGTTTACCGGTAATTACCAGTTTTTTACCGGTAAAATTAGGCTTGGACCGGTTATTCAGGTGACTGCCAGTCCCTCTGGACCGGCAAATAAAGTCATATAAATCTTTGTTGTTGAACAAAACATTGGCGATATTCATATAAGTAAATTTTTTCGAACGAAGTCAGCTTGTCTGTTACCATCAAGGTTTCCCCTTGTCTTTTTTCATTGCAAGGAAATAACATTTTCCTTTGCTTCGAGGTTAAATATCCATTTGTAGTAACTTTGTCACGAAATATTTTTAAAAAAGGAGAAAATTGTGACTGAAGTTAGTGTGAATGATGTATAGATCTAAATAAGTTACTTCAGAGATGACGTCTTTGCACTGAACAGGATGTTGAAAGAATCAAAACCAGGTAATTTTCATACATTTTTTAATTTGTTGAAAATTGGGACTGGCAAAAATTAGGGGGAGACTGGTAATTATTAGAGCTGTCAGTCCACTAGAACTGTCAGTTTCAAAAGCCAGCGGAAACACAGTGACTACACGGTGCCTACCATGGATAATGTTTTCTCAGGAATCTAATAAAATGGAAACTTTAAACCATGAATATTTTTATGGTCACATGTTATTGTTTTCATCCATCAGAAAATTGTTTTTGTGTGAATACAAAGACGTAAGTTATTCAACCAGCGAAGCTACAGTTTGAATATGCAATAAATCTTGTTATCTCATGGTATATAAGTTCTGATTTTGGTTTTTTTCTGTCTTATTTTTAGATCATTTGTTATGTTGCCATAGTTATGGCATTATGTGGAATGTTATTTATGTTCACACAACAATATATTTTCTTTAATAAAATCCTTTTAATTCTTCTTGTGGTTGAATTTAAAACCCATGTTGAGCTGACATTGAGATCTTCATGTTGATCTAAAGCCCACATTACATCCTGTCTGGGTCACTGATATTACTGGACCGCCTCCGTGGTCTAGTGGTAGAGCGTCCGCCCAGAGAGAGGAAGGTCCGGAGTTCGATCCCCGACCGCGTCATACCAAAAAGATGTTAAAAGATGGTACTTGTTAGCCTGTGTGGCGCTTGGCATTAAGGGGCTAAAACAAGGACTGGTCGGCTCAGAGTCAGTATACTGTGTCTGGAGAGGTATTAATTTTCAAACTGCGGCATGGTATCTCAGTGGGCTAGCACTATAAAATTGGCATCAGTCCGGACTAGTACAAGCAGCCACACACACACACACACGTGCATGCACGTCGCTATATAAGTGCAATTATCTTGCACGCAATGTTAAACCCAATTTCACCTCATCACCACCGCTCCACCTTTTGTTACTTAGGACACAATATTCTGTTACATTAGGTAGCTATGCAATAAGTCACAATTCCAAAGAACAATGAAGTGTGGTTTATTTCATGATGAAACGTTGTTCTTTTTTTTAATAACTTGATGACGTTGAATATTGGAAGACATTTTTTTGAGAGGGGAGTGTCTTGTGTGTTGTTCCCCATAGATGTAGCTTGGCTACGCAGATACATGTAAATGTGATGGTCGAATGATCATATCCAAAAGTGTAAGAGATATCAAAATCGCCATTGGGAGAAAAAGTACAGGTAATCGACGTGAGGATTGTGAGAATATGCGGAAAATACCCACCTGTGCATAAAATGGCCTTGTCCTGAATTCCATTCCGCTGAGGGTGTCATCATTATTAAAATACGGGTAAATATTTTTGAAGCTTATACATTTTATCATCATCCTTAAAAAGGCTGTGCATAATGTTGATATCTCATGTAAGAAATAAATGAATTGTGGTCGTTTATTGAACAGTAAAACACTGCAGGGAGAACAAACCACTTGGGGCCGTTTTGTTGTATGATAAACAACCCTGACCTGTTTATTTCGTAAGTATATGGCAATATTAACCCCTGCCACGAAGTGGGGTGGGGGAATACAGGAACAGTTTGTCCAACCGTCAGTCTATCCACTTCTCAAAGGGGACAAATTTTCTCCAAAAATGTTTAAGTTAGAAAAATGAAATTTTACACCCTCATATTAATGGTCATCTTAAATGAGTTAAAACATTGGTATCTTAAATTAATTTTTTATGTCCCTTCATCTGTGCTTTTCAACTAAGTGCATACTGTGTGAATGGGGACACATTTTCTCAGAAACCACTGAATTTACATGAATGAAAGTTTGCATGCTTATCTAAGTGATACTTGTCCAGGTTTGAAAGTTTGAAAATTGGTGCCGTAAATTGTTTTGTTAAGGAGTTATGGCCCTTGCTCCATGCTTTTCAACTTAGTTCATGATGTCTGCAAGAGAGACATTTTTCTCGGAAACTACTAATGTTACTTAAATGAAACTTTGCATTATGATCAATGAGATACTTGTCAAGACTTAGAAAATTGGTCCGCTAAATTATTTTTTTTCGACAGTTACTTCCCTTGCTACATGTTTATAGAACCTTGAGCAATGTTATTTTACAAAGTGCATAGTGCCTGCAAGGTGCAATAAATATTTTTTTCAGACAAGTGGCCTTTTGTGTGTATTAATTTTTTTCTGATAACATGAAGCGACCCTTGTACCTTTCTCTTAAGTCTTTTTGGAATCTTTATTTTATAGCTGATATTCATTACTATATGAACAAACAAAATTCTAATGTGCCCCATTGCGGGGGATGATAAGGCTGTTTTTTGTTGTTGTTTATTCCAATGTGCTATGTAAGATTTCATTTGTTCTCACAATAATAGGGGGCAGGGGTGGCCCTGTGGTCTAAGGCGCCGCGATTCGCTGTGCAGAGTTGCGTCCCTTGGGCACGCCAGAAACCTATGATCGTGGGTTTGAATCCCGGTTCGCCCTGATTATGTTTCTAGGTTTGTCAGCACCATACCCGTGCTCGTGGGTTTCACCAAAGTGCTAAACTCTTGAGACCTTCAACACTTCACACTTTCCTCCCATATAGCTGACAAGTGGGGATATAACTTGAATACAGTTAAAAGCAGTGTCAAAAGCATCTTCCCAAGACAAGGGAGTTAACTGACTATAAAAGTCCAGTTTCGACCCTTGACGAACTGGGCTGGAATTCCGGAGTTACGCTTTGGTTGGACAAACTGGTCTATGCACAGTCGAATCAAAATCGAACTAGACATCCGGTTCGTAAACACACACGGATTTCAACATGCAGATTTCGGTCGACTGCAGGATTTACAAAGCATGTACACCGTCAACTGGGCTTCAAATGTTATTCTGCAAATCTGTTCATGTTTTTAATCAAGGTGCTCAAGTGATTTGATGCTCTTTGCGAGGTAAGACCCGTTTTATTACAATACAGATCTTGATTATCGTCTTGATTTCGTTTGAAGCAAATGCAAGTGACATGAGAGATGGAATTGATTCCATCGTGCAGATTTCGGTCGACTGCAGGATTTACAAAGCATGTCTACTGGGTGTTGACATATTTTGCAAATCTTTTCAAATTTTTAATAAAAGTGCTCAAGTAATTTTTGCACTTCGCAGAGTAGGACCCGTTTTATATATGAGAGATGGAATCTGATTGGTCAATAGGAGGGACATAGAAGGGACATAACTCGTAACAGGCACTGGTGTTGCTACGATCGAGCCTGGAAATTCCAGCCAAGTTCGGCAAGGGTGGAGACTAGACTTTTATAGTCAGTTAATGCTTTTGCCTGGGGAAGATGCTTTTCCTGTTGCATTTGAAGAGATTTGAAAATGAATAAAACGTAAAATGAGTGAGTGTGCAGTGAATCAATGTCCGTCAGCATGATCCTGCGGCACACGTTTCCTATCTGTATGATAGAAATATCTTGTTTTACGGCACGTTGCCAAAATAAAGGTTAATAAGCTAGATGAAATCTTGTGGAACAGTGGTGTGTTTGTGTCATTAAAATCAGATCTTAGTTCTCGCTACAGCCATTAAATTGCATCACAATGCTTTACAGACCATTGTGACATCATTGGTTACCATGACGTCTCAATCAAATAGCATCACTAATGGCTCTGCTACTGAAGCTGTTAGCAGTACTTTTTGTCTAAAACTGAAAAAGCTATTGGATGATAAATAAAATCTCTCCCTCGGAGTTTTTTCCACTTTTATCAACTCGTGTTGTCATATTTGATATCAAAAGACACTTGGGTGAGAGTCTCTATATATGGCAGACGTGTTGGAACACAAGGGATTATATTGATCCAATGTGACAATTCTGCCTGGCTACAGTGAGCGTTCTCTCACAGAAATGAAATTGCTTTTAAAAAAAGCATTCAACATGTTCATTTTCTTGGCATCCGGCATACTACTTAATTTGTTTTGGCATCAGAATTAAGGACTCTCGAGTCACATCAGTGTACACAGCTGGTACAAGTAAACTCGACTGGGATTTCACATAGAATGCATGACCATGCATGCCCACAAGCTCAGGGTTAAATAATATTGATTTGCTACAGTAATTCTTTGCAATGTAAAAGGACGAAAATTAAATTTCACTTTGAAATTGGCATTCGCGATCCAGATCAACATTTCACGACATCCAGGATACTGCACTGCAACATCCAGAATAGCACGTGACAGGGCTAGCATCCTCATCACTACAGGCATAACACTCGAATCATACTTCAAATAAGATTTGTTTCACTTCGACCTTATAGGTGCAATGGTGCAGCCTAGTGGTTAAAGCGTTCGCTCGTCACGCCGAAGACCCGGGTTCGATTCCCCACAAGGGTACAATGTGTGAAGCAATTTTTTGGTGTCCCCCGCCGTGATATTGCTGGAATATTGCTAAAAGCGGCGCAAAACATTACTCACTCACTCGACCATTTTCTAACAGTATATTCCCACAACATGCAAGTCACATATTTTCAGTAATAAAGGCCAAGGCCCACAATACAATAACATGAAATATTTATAATATCCTCTACAAAAGATTTACCTATGTATGTTCAGATTTTCAATATAGCATGGTGGTGGGGTACCTAAATGAATACAATGTGTGAAGTCCATTTCTGGTGTACCCCGCTGTGATATTTTTGCTAGAAAATTGTTAAAAGAGGTCCTTAGATATAGGACGTCTCTGGGAAGATTTCATGTGGTGGAGTTAGTACCACATAAATACACTTGCATGCAAGCCTTACAGCCGATCAGAACGGGTGATTTGAGCAGCGCTAGCAAGTTTGAATGCCTCCGCTATCAAATGAGCAAATCAAGTCCTGTTCTTTGGAACACCGGATCGTGGACTGGTCAAGTGTTTCCAGTGCTATGCGGAGGCCAGCTTGGGTACATGCTTGTACTGTGATCTCGGTCAGTGTAACCCCCCATTCACTTGAACACATTAATCACATGATTCACAGCGAAATTCATTCATATTCCTCGCCCAAACCACCGTTCGATGCATATGCATGAATTTCGCTTAAACGTCATGTGCATCAATATAGCAACAAACAAGAAGACAGATGCGGACATATAATTTGTAATTGATTTCATGATAAAGTAATTGTATATGCTCAATTCTTACAGAGATGATGATAACCCACATTGGTCATTAAGCTGATGTATCCGTGAAGATCCGTCTTCAGCAACCTAGGCTTGTCGTAAGAGGCGACTAACGGGATCGGGTGGTCAGGCTCGCTGTCTTGGTTGATGCATGTCATCGATCCCAATTGCGTAGATCGATGCTCAGGATATTAATCACTGGATTGTCTGGTCCAGACTCGATTATTTACTGACCGTCGTCACATAGTTGGCATATTGCTGAGTGCGGCGTTAAACAACAAACAAACCAACCATGGCTTGGCTGATTCCATGTCCTTGTACCTTTACGGCATACGTGAATCGTCGCTCACAATA